GTTCGCATTGGTGTTGTTTAGATGGGAACCTATCAACACAAGAGGATCAAGTACTTGGTATATTACAGTAAAATTATATGTGGTTCTGTTGAAGAGAATTATGGTCCTTTTAGGAATTTTTGTAATGTTTGGTATCTACGATGGTGCATACGGCGAGTTAGCCAAATGTTATGTATTTAGTACGATATATATGATATTTTTTTTTTGTTTTGATGTTGTTATTTCTATTTAATTGTTATTTTGAAATTTTTTTAGTAAGCGTTATGTTATACGATATTATTTGTTGAGAATAGATAAGATTTTAAACTAAACCCGTAGACGTACACGATAATATTGAGATACACGTACACGTGTACGACCTCTCCAAACAGTTACATCCTAAAAATGCCTAAATCACATAAGTCTTATACTATGTACGTACACAAAAATATTTATTGGAGCGTACATGGTACAACATTAATTTAATTTTTTGACATCAAAATTAAGTTATTATGTCAATTATTTGTATGACTGTATTTTTTTCATGTGTTGTTCATACATGATTTGAATGTTTTGTTTTTATGGTCAAAAAATATTTGAAACGTAAATATACAAATTATTTAGATATTTACGTACATATATATACTCCCACACACACGGTCACTTTCAGCATCGTCACCATCAGTCCTAGGGACATTATTCCCGAGTGCCTTGACGGTTGTAATGAAAGAGACAAACAAGTTGACACTAGGATCCCCACCACGAATCAAAAAGAACGTATCCAGGCTCATTTGATTGTCAATGTAGACAGGAGGGCGTTTACTTTCTATCATCACTGACATCTTTCCCGGCATCCAGTAATTAATTATGGGATTGCATTCGGTGGACTTCAAACTGAAAACCTCGCATAATGTACGTACAAATTCCGTGTACGTCATGTTTTCTTTAACACGTACACAGCGACCAAACATGCTTTCCTCTGGTTCAAATTTCCATTCTTCTTCTTTGCATCTCCACTTACCCACCGTAGTAAATACGGGAATATCCATTACCCACCTGCATCATAAATTCAGCAAAACCCCATTAAATGCAACTGAAAACATGATTATATCTATAAAAAAACAAAAAAAAATTCCAACTACACACTTATAAACATATATATATATATATCCTCATTTAGCATTTTCAACAAACAAAATTGGAAATAAAATTTTTTGGGTTTTTATATAAAAAACAATGTTGATTTCGAACACAATCAAGCTTCTACTGTGTTATAACAAAAAACTTCTTAACCAACTTCATTACTTACACGATCAATGCTTGTTTTGACTCCAAACTTTGTAAATCAACAAGATCAAAACTTCTCCAGCATCACATTCGTTCAGACTAATTTTTTTATTTGATGGTTCATGCTTATCTCTTACAATTATTCAATTCACACGTATAAACTAATATTACAACAAGTGTAATGATGAGTTTTGAATTAAATGTGACAAGAGTCTTGTCTAAACTTTTTAGGCATTAAATACTGATGTCACTTTGTTTTTTAATGTTATTATTTCCCCTTTTCACTGTACAGCCGCACAAAACATTAAAAAAACAAAATTATCTTAACCAAACCGGAATAGTGTACCTAACTGAACCGCTTAATTGAACCGTACACGGAACAGTACGTGGTTACGCTGACAGGGGTAAAATGGTCAGATTTTGGCTAAATTGTCAAAACATGAGAACCAACTCTCACTTTGCCAAACCATGAAATTAAAAGATGGTCTTATGCCCTGGCCTGCAATTTACCCTTCGAAAAATTGTTGGGACCCTTTTTTATGATCAACTGTGTAAGAAGATTTTTTACTTCTATTGTGAAGTAGCCCGAAAAAACGGCAACTTAAAAGCCCAAAATAGGCCCGTCTTCGTTCTTCTATGCTACGTTCATGATTCGTGCTTCTATCTAAATCGTTGGATGTTCGTTTTACTGTCTCTTTTTTTTTGGTTATAGGTTCGTTGTAGTAGTGTCTATACAATTATACTAACAGAAATTAGATTTTTTGATAAGAAATTGTAAAAGAAAAGCATTAAATATCAGATACTTTTTAAACCAATGAAAGGGAACTCCAGTGTCATTTTTGGCCCGACATCACTCACATAATGGAAGGAGCCAGACACCCAAATAAGTCGAAACAACTTGAAACCACCCTTTGATATTATCCTTACATTTTATTTTTTCCCCCAAATAAATTATTTGTGGGATATTTTATCGATTCATTCACCTACTGAATATAAAGATTGGATTGTATCTCTTCTTATCAGTATTCAACGACAGCCATTTTTCATCCACGATGTTTAGAGAATTCAAAATCAAAGACCACCTTGACAAATTATACAGCAATTATCTTTTTCTCTATCGGTCTTTATCAAAAAAAAATATATGTTTTGGTAATCTTGTAACCACATTGTTTCTTAGACAAAGCAATATACTACACTTTGGTTGGTAGTAATCGTGGAGTCCTTTTTAATCGTCAATTGTATATTTCTCGAAATAAACTAACTGACATTATAGTTTTGTAAGCTATATACTGATATTAATATTACCTACAATTATATGGGGTTTACGTTAAACCGTTTAACCAACCAAAAAAAAAAATTTATATGATTTTTTGGTCCGTACATGTCGGTTCTTGTTGCGCATGGCTGTCCCTCTATGGCTATCCAATCGCTTACGTCCGTCCAAAGAAGATTTTATTCATATCGAATAATAATGTTTAGTTGTTATATATTAAATCTAACATTATTATTTTTGGTAAAGAATCTAACATTATAGTCCACATCAAACTTTAAAAAGGGTGGCATGCGAGGAACCTACATATTGTGTTCTTTCAAGTATGTTTTCTCTCCTCGAAGTGCCTCCTACGTGGCTTCTCATGTACCACCCTTCAACATATATTATAACAAGAAACTTTATTCGAGAAGATATTTACATATATCACATTATCACTACAGATTTCTACGCTCAATAATGTACGTGCATGTTATAAATAGTGAATATAATTAAGTCTTAACAATGCATCTCAATTATTATCTATTTATGAAAATTGAAATGTCGACACCACTGTATTAGACTGTTAGTTAATAAGGCTAAAGTAATTGACATATAGTTTACCTCTCAACAGAACTAATCAGTAATCACTATTGTAAACTAAGATAGGACAGTTTCACACTGAAAACGGGTTAATTATTACTAACATTGTGAAAATTTATCAATTATTCGTTACAAATTATTTTTTTTGTTTCGGGATATCCTTTTCCTTCTCCCATATTTTTTTTTCAAAGACCTTCTCCAATATATTCAAGACATATAATTGATCAATTCTTGAATACAAACTGAAATTAGCACCACGTCAATTCATTTACATTAAATTGTGTTGTAGTTGTTGATACCATTATCCATAGTAGTATTTAAAATAGTAAAACTTCTGAGCCATACCGAACTAATTTACAATATTAACAATCTTTAATCATGACATGAAAATACTTCGAAAAATATTTAATGTCCTACTCAAGAATAACGTATAATTAATACTTTGAAAAATAATTAATGCCCTACTCAAGAATAATAGCCTTTAATGTATTTCCTAAAAAGGAGTAACGGGCATATAACCAACGTGGAACAATAACGGACTCAAGAATGCAAAACCCACAAAAGATATTATTAATCGCTGATTCGTTGACAGTGACAACTGCCTCCTTAACTTTCTTTAGTGTACGTGTCGATTTTATTATTATGCATTATATGACCATATGTTAATATTAATCTTTAAAGTTGATGAACGATGAAGTATCGATTCTTTTTCTGTAAAATTATTTGTAGTAGATTTAGCCATTATGTTTTCACTAAAAATGAATCTTGATATTGTTAAGAATCTTAAGTTTTTAATTATGAGAGCACCTAAAAGTAAATAACATAATCCAAACTGTATGTTTGGATAATTCTATCATTTATGATATAATGCATTGTATCTTTGATATTTATGCATTAGGTGTGGCAAAAGCTATTTATAAAAGTTAAGTAATCAGTCTTAAGAAAACTATATATGGACCACAAATTTAGTTTTATGTGGTTGTTTTTAAGCATTTATATAACCGGGAAATATCGCATATTTGGTCCATGGTCTGTTTAGTTTGAGTATAGTTTTTGATAATAGCACCTAAGATTTGAATTCGGATCCAATAAAACGAAACTATATAGCATCCTTTTAATTAACAGGTTGAACCAACCACATTTAGGTATTTTATTTATAAACATTTTATAAATAATTAAACATATCAACACATCGGATCGGAGATATATATGTGGTAATAAAGAGAAACACTAGGATCCTTTCCAAGCCATACCTTACCCCCCTCTCCTCTGAAGTTGTGGGTAACAAGTATCAAAACAAAACAAATATCCCGAAATTTTAAGATCGTTGCGAACATTGAAGGACATAATGAAAGATAAATTTAGTCTACTTAGATTCATCGGACCGGTTGACGAATGACGAGGTCATGGTCGCCGGGTCATGAGTAGTTATAATCACCAAAAGTAGGTGATGAATACATAGAGATAGAGGAGGCAAATCATAAAAAGAAATTCCTTTCGCTCTCATATATTTTATGTTTTATCTCGATCATTCTTCTAACAACATTGACCTCTCTACTTGAACCCAAAAAAATATAACATTGACCTCCGTGATAATAAAAAAAATATTCAAAACAAAAAATTGTTGTCATCATTTATTTTACATCACTATTGACAAACCATTTTTAAAAGTTTTTTTTGCTATATATTCACCGAAAATAACTAATCACAAGGGATGCTTTCAAAAATCATGTCCCGATATATTCATTTTTATTGATATATAGATACATAAAAGAGAAAATAAGTGATTTAGCTTTAGTTTTGAACAGTTTGATCGTACGACGTTATAAGATCTTTTATCATCTCATCTGCTATATATACACTCCTCCGAGTAACATAACTAAATGTCTCAGCCTTCAAAGCAATCAAAATCAACCCCCAAAAGAAAAAAATCTATCAAACAACAAATATATAAATGGCGGTCTTATCTAAACAGGTCGCAGTACCAAAATTCGGTTTCTCTCCAATCCCGGTTATAGATATGTCTGACCCAGAATCCAAACATGCCCTCGTCAAAGCCTGCGAAGATTTCGGCTTCTTCAAGGTGATCAACCATGGCATTTCCGCAGAGCTAGTATCTGTTTTAGAACACGAGACCGTGGAGTTCTTCTCGTTGCCCAAGTCAGAGAAAACCCTAGTCGCAGGTTATCCCTTTGGATACGGGAACAGTAAGATTGGTCGGAACGGTGACGTGGGTTGGGTTGAGTACTTGTTGATGAATGCCAGTCTTGATTCCGGTTCGGGCCCACTATTTCCGAGTCTTCTGAAAAGCCCGGGAACTTTCAGGTTTAAAATGTCCCTTGCTTTGATAACACCTTTGTGCTCTGTTTTATGCTCTGTGTTTTTGTGGTTACGTCTATATAATATAGTAGCCCATCTCAAGTTTTGTTCTTTAATTTATCAGAAACGCATTGGAAGAGTACACAACATCAGTGAGAAAAATGACATGCGATGTTTTGGAGATGATCACAGATGGGCTAGGGATCAACCCGAGGAACACACTTAGCAAGCTTGTGTCTGACCAAAACACTGATTCGATATTGAGACTTAATCACTATCCACCATGTCCTCTTATCAATAAGAAGACCAATTGTGGTAAGAATGTGATTGGTTTTGGCGAACACACAGATCCTCAAATCATCTCTGTCTTGAGATCTAACAACACTTCTGGTCTCCAAATTAATCTAACTGATGGCTCTTGGGTCTCTGTCCCTCCCGATCACTCTTCCTTCTTCTTCAACGTTGGTGACTCTCTTCAGGTTCGTCTCATCTCTAAGTATCTTCTTCGTAGGTTCATGTTTCAGACCAAAAGATGTAAGCCGTTTTTTCTTTGTATCAGGTGATGACAAATGGGAGGTTCAAGAGCGTGAGGCATAGGGTTTTAGCGAACGGTGACAAATCTAGGGTTTCTATGATTTACTTCGCTGGACCTTCGTTGACTCAGAGAATCGCTCCGTTGACTTGTCTTATGGACAACGAAGACGAGATGTTGTACGAAGAGTTCACTTGGTCTGAGTACAGAAACTCTGCCTACAACTCTAGATTGTCTGATAATAGGCTTCAACAATTCGAGAGAAAGACTACAAATAGTAATACATTGTTAAATGATTAAATCATTTTTGTTCATGATATATATATAAATTTAACTGTGTGCTATTTGCCTATGTATAAATAATATATGTATGTTTGAAGTTAAATGTTGATCCAATAATTGAAGAAACTGCAATAGTTGTCATTATCGCGTGATTAATGCTTATGCGTAATAGCGATATCTTTAATTAAAATCCTAGCCGACCCGCAAAAATTCACGTCCCAATCGGCACGTCTCCATTCGAAACCAAAATAAAAATCCCACATATACAAACCTAATTTTTACAGTCCGATAATACATTGTTGGGTCAAAAACATATTACATTTTATGGCTGACATTTTTAGAACAGTATTAAAGATATCGACAAAGACTTTAGAACCGAAAATCTCAATATTACTCGTCGAAATGTGGTCCGAAAATTTGTTTCGGGCACCAATATGTTTACTGAAATAGACATATATTGATATGAACGTAGACAGCGTGTCGTTTACTTAAGAGTTCGCATACCATTCTTTTAAGGGAAAGTGATTTGTCAATGTATTGTTATATTCACTTGGGCCAACTTGGATATCTGAAAGCCATGTTTTTTTAACGTTGGTATCTAAAAGTTTCTATCACTGACTTCTACTTTCTTTTTCCTTTTTAACGTTAATCTAGTGGTTATCTTGGTTTTATATACATCAAATTGGTTAAAATTGATTAGGAAAGTGATTATTCCAATATCATAGATCTAACTTATCTAGCTAAGATCCAAACTTGCTCTTTAAATGCTTTGGGAAATCTGAATGCAGCAAGAAACTAAATTAGCTTCTGGCGAAGCAGCACAATCATTGTCTAAATGTTCATCACTAGAAATCTCTAGATAATTTATATAATACGAAGTGATGAGCCATCATTTCGTAGAGACACTTACTTAGATCATCCCACAAAGTAAAAGCACACTGCTTACTTGAATCACACGCTACTGTTTGTTCTATCACTTCATTTTTGCCCTTTCTTCTTCCACAGGTCACCGAACATTTTCATCCCTGAACCTTTCCTCTTCCCAAACCCTAACCCGTCATCCGAATCATCAGCCATTCCCGGTGATCCGACAAACCTGCCTGCAAAATGCTTCTCCATTGACCCATACTGCTCTGAGAACCGGCCATTCATCTCAACCCCTCCAGCTAAAACCGCAGCTGCAGCATCTGCTGCTTTCCTCCACTGCTCGGTTTGGACCTTCAGCTTCTTCATCTCAGCTTCTAGACTCTCTTTTGCTTCTTCCACAGATTCGAGCTTTTTCTTTAGCTTCGCTGTGGTCTCATTGCTTTCTTCCAGTTCTTCCCCAATCTGACTCACCTTTGAAGCTATCTCATCTTCTTTCGCCTTTACGCTGGACATTTCCGAATCCGTCTTCTTCAACTGATTCTTCAAGCTCTCGTTCTCTTGGCCAAGTGATACCCTTTCTTTCTCCAAGTCATATAGTCTAGCTTTCAATACATTGATTTGGTCTTCCTTAGAAGCCAATTCATCATTCTTCGTCTGATCACTTTCTTTTGCTTTCTCAACAAGAACCTCGAACACATCGGTCTCTTGATGTCCATATCCAGGAATGTCATCTCTCTCCGGAGCAGGAGGGTTTGATTTCTTGGATTTCTTCCTAAGAAGCTCTTCTTGAGCACGTTTCTTGGCAGCTTCAGCTTTAGCCAACTGCTGTTTGAGCAAACTCAACTCTTCCTGGGCTTGTCCTAGCTGTGACTCCAAGCCAGAGATGCGACTTCCAAGCTTCTTCTGAGTCAGCGGATCCGTGTGAGGCCCACCACTCCTCGGAGATCTACGGTCAAGGCCGAGCTTTGGACTCCGGTCTGTAATCGGACGGCTAAGGTGATGCGGATCAGAGGAAGTGGACAACAATGATGTCCTTAGCCTAGGAGATTGCCTCTGAGGCAACTCTGAACCTCTAATACTACTCAGATCACAACAAGACACAAAGGTAGCAATTTCACTTGTATCAGATAATATAGACAACACCAACAACAAACACCAATTACAAAAAAATCTTCTAAATCACATTATCTTCAAGAATTGAAGTAAAACCCTTACCTTGGTTTTGGCATTCTGATTTATGCAAAGTTGCTGAATCTCCAAAGCTTATGATCTGATGAAAATGAAAGCATTCCTCAGATCAGAATAAAGCAGAGACATGAACTTGTTTATTTACTTGTGACTTGTGAGCCACGCGCCACTAAGTGAGAGTGAGACTCTCTTGAACAGATTTCACTATTGGAGTCAAACCAGACACAAGTGAGATAACAACACATTGCTTTTGCTTTAACTCAAACGCTTTAGAAGATTCAAGATTAACAACAAACTTCAATCTTTCACAAAACCCACCCAGAAGAAAAAAGAAAAATAACCCACCCAGAAGAAAAAAGAAAAATAAAACAAGACTTGGATCAGATTTGTCAGACTCTGAGGAAAAGTTTCTTATCTTCCATACACACATAAGTAAATGAGCTAGTCTAACTATTGGAACTAACCTTGAGGACAATGTAGAGTACTTTCTCGGTTTCACCTTTGGAATTGAATACGAAGGAGTGATGATTGCGATAGTCTTAATAAGTAATGGAAGCAGAGAAATACTAAAGAAGGAAAAAAAGAGGAAATAGTTTTAGAATATGCTGGTGTGATTAATTGGTTGATAGAAACAAGAGCACAAAGACAAGAAAACCCAAAATGTGGAGAAAAGAGAGGTCGTAGCTTTTTTGTCCAGAGAGAGAGAGAGAGACTCTCAATTCAAGAAGCAGAGAGATATTAAAAAAAGTAGACGTTGGAAGATTTGAAATAAAGCTGGTGAAAGTGAATGACCTTTGGGGAAGAAAAAGGACAAAAGTGTAATTTACATGTAATCATAATGTTTTTTTTCCTTTTTTATTACTTTTGTTACATTAAGATTCGCAATAACGTCTAAAAAGTTGCCAAATTGTTGCATTTTGAAATAAATCATCGTATGTTCTTTTTAATACAAGCATTAAGCATATAATGTATTTGTATGTCTATACTCTATATTGACACATATCTAAACAAAAATGGTGTAGTAAATAATAATATTACGCGCATGTCATGTGTGTACCCTTATCAATCGCTCTGACATTGTTCCTTTCTTTTTGTCGGTTTCAACAAAGTTCAAACTCTTTTATTTTAGTTTCTCTTCTTCTTCTTCTTTTTATATTCCAATCTTTTAATATGGATATTTGTTTTTTTTCTAAGATCATAAACTACTATTATTATTTTTTAAAACTATCATAAACTAATATATGGATATATGTTTAAGTGTTAACCTTCACATTTTCAATTCAATATCGCTTTAGTGGATTGCTTAATGTCTGAATTTGTTCCTGTTTATATCTGTTATTATAATGTTTAATTATGCTTGAAACGTTGGATTCCTAATGGTATAGATCATAAAACTAATATATGAATATTGAAATAATGTACATTCAAGCGTGTATAAAAGAAACCCATACACAATGTTGAAATAATGTACACTCACTACATTCTTGTAGTATAAAGTAAAAGTTGACAGTTGACAATTGAAAATAGTACAGAGCAAATTGTAAGTAAAATTCAGCGCCACTATGATTATGATAGTAAGTAGCATCTAACTAGTAACAACCACCTTTAACTTTTGGTTCTTTCTTTTTATGATTGTGTTGTTGATAATTTAAGACTTCAAGTAATAGGAGTACTACATTTCAAAAAAAAAAAAAAAAAGAGTTTACGGGAGTTGGAATTAGAACCCATAAGACGCTAACACAATTTGCTCGAATCAAGATAGTAAATGTTGAAAATTGGTTAGTTGCTAGTCATAATCCATTGATTATCTTTAAAATTTGTCTTAATGAACCCATAAAGATATTTAGACTCTCTAGAACCCTAAACCCTAATACTGTTTTGGTCAATAGTATTAGGGTCAACCCTCGCCAACTTTGACTTTCTCTTCTCCATTTAGCAATTTGCTATCAAAGAGACAAAACAAGTGAGGATCTTCACATTTTTGTCACTGCAGATTGAAAAGAAGTAACCATAGAGATATAACACAGAAGCTGTAACACAACCCAACTTTTTCTATTAAAACTGGAAATCATTTCTTTTCTTTCTTCCTATAGGAACAGACATATATGAATGAAGTGATAATCATCAGATTCAGACCCATGAGTTTCCATTATTATCCTATTTATTGCCAAGTAACTTCAGTTGGTGCACTTGTCGTCGTGGCATGAACCTCTGCCATAGACACAGCCATAGCCATCATCATCTGTTCCTCAAAACTCTCTGGAACAATGACCAGAGGTGGAGGAGGAGGAAGAAAGTTGTGGAAGCTCTCGCCGGTCATGTAAGAACTTACATAGCTGTTGCTGCTTCCTGTTTCTCCCATCTCGGTGTTGTTATGGTAATGATGATGACGATGATGATGGTTGTCTATGTCATCTACCTCTTGTTCTATGTCGTAGTAACTGTCACAATTTCCAGGAAGCATACTGTATGAAGAAACGTTGACATTGTGATTGTGATTGTGATTGGAGGATTCGCCAACCATTTGACGTTCAGCAAGTGCGGCGATTGCACAAGCAAGTCCACCAGATGATGAAGACGGTGTTGCTGGTTCAACGATTGGAGCCATTCGTGGTGGTGAAGAAACATAATTATGATTATCTGTTACATACTGCCTAGAAGAGGTCATTTCCCCAGAAGCTGAATTTCTCTGCGTCCCTGTTTCCTGTTAGAATCAGTGAAAAGCTATGAGAGACTTGAAAATTTTGTCATCAAAGTTATACAATTAACTAAACAAATTATTTTACCTGAACAGAGAGCCATATTGCTTCCATAATCATCAATTCCTCAAGGTCAACGTCAACCTCATCATCCCTGAAGAGTTTATAGACAAATTAAATATATAGTAAGTCCAATATGAATCACTCAGACTAAAGTTACATCAATGAGCATTTCACTAATTTAGTCGAACAAAAACGCTTGTGAATTTGGTGCGTTTACATGGTACTCACTTCATTTCTAAGTGAATCTGTGTTCATATCACTTAGCACCCAAAAACAAGAATAAGTCTAATCACAGTGTCATAGTAATTCAGAAAGTTCATGGTTACAACTACCACATTACTCCATATATGAACTTGACAAAAAAAAAACAGAGCAGCCAATGGAAAGAGTGAAAGACAGACCTGTTTCCTCGAGGACGGGAATGCTGTCTAACAACTGCTGTGTTCTGTGATGGAGCAATTTCCCCGTCTTCCATGGGGGAATTATAAGATATGGCTGCAAACCAAGGGACAAAAAAAAGCCTGTTAAAACCGCCTTTGTTTGTTCCTGACGGAAGATTTAACACGTTCTGGCAGGAAAAATAAACCGACCTGAAGCTGAACCATATTCCATCTCGCCAGTCATTGCACTTGTGCTAGAGGAACATGATTCAAGACGTTTCTGCATTTTCTCTTCATCATCCTGCATTTCCTTCTGCCTCATCCTTATTTTGGCTTCTATTACCCGTTGCTCTTCCTGCAAAAAGATACAGTGACAGAACATTTAGTAAAGCACCATGCCATCAAGCTTATCGAGGAAAAAAATATAATTTTGACTTACAACTTGTTCAATGCCCTTTTCCTCCTTCGACTTTACGCCACGATACTCGACAGCATAATTGGGAGTTTTACAAAATGGGCACCTCATAAATGTCAAGGAGGACATAAAAGGGAAAAATCCATCAAATTAATAAGACATTTTCTCAAACATTAAGCCAAATGTTAAAGAAACCCCTAAAGGCTTATGCGCAGGATTTAAAATAAAGGATACTGAGTAGGCCGAGCTGAATTAGGATTCTTCATTTGCAAAAAACACTCTGCAGCAAATTATAAAAAGAATGCCATGTCAAATGAAATGGAAACATGAATAGAACAAAGAAGCTAGTACAATGTTATAGATGGTTGATGAATATTTTACCTGTACAAATGCTTTTCATGCAACATCTTGATCTATTGAGGCTAGGATAATACTAGAAACACAAGAAAAAGAAACATGGCAGAGTTTAGATCGACAAAATGTGACGAGAATGTAATAATAATTACAGAGAGTGATAATTTTCACAAACCAGGAAACAAATGGGGCATTCTTCAAGATCGTGGCAGCTTTCATCGTCTCCGGGATAGCAAGGAGCAAGCTTAGACTCTACAATGAGTTTTCTGAGCTTTTTAACGTCGACATCTTTATTCACATACAAACCTTGTGGCTTTGTATACCTTTCTTCCACCACTTGCCTCTTCCTTCCCAACTTATTACCCATCACAAAGTTTTAACCTTTCTTCTACTAAACCCTATTCTCCTACTACCTTCTTAAGAGCAGAGATTATGATTACTACTAATCTCACATTAACACCTAAAATCAATTTCTTTCTACAATCTCTCTAACTGGAGAAACAAAGAAGCCTAAGTTCTAACCTAAAGGTACAATCTTCACCATAACCTGCGCAAATGGTGAATTCAAATTTCAGAACACAATTGGGGTAAAACCCTAATTTGATACATAAAAGCCCTAACTTTGGAACTAATTCAATTGGGGGTCAAACCCTAAATACCTAATTAAACGTTCCAAAATATTCCACGAACTATAAACAGAAGAAACCCTACAAATTCTGATAAAGAAGTACGGAAAAAAGAAAGAAAGATAAATCGGAGAAGAAAGAAAGAAACCTGAAAACTTCGAGGGCAGAAGAAAACAAGAAACGAGAGATCAAAGAAGGGTTTTTGGGTAAACGATAAGAGACACGATCAGAACTTTACTCTGTAGAGATAGAGAGAGAAGAAAGAAGAAAGAAGAAATAAGAGAGAAGCAAAGATAATACAGTGTTGTGTGTCTCTTTCGTATTATATAAAATTCATAGAAAAAAAAAGAAAAACAGAGAGATTAGATTACAACAACAAGTTCTGTATCTCAAATTCTTTTTTAATACTTTGACGGAAAATCACAAGAGAGAGAGAAGATGATGATGATGTGGAGAAGCTAAAAGGGAACAGGAAACGATGGAGTAAGAGACGAACCAAAGAATCCACTCTTTGCTTCTTTCCTCTCCACGCGCTTCTTTCTACGCGCGTGGGTTTCAGTTTCGTGTAAAACGACGTCGTGGCGTTTATTTATGTTTTTTTTTTGTTTGTTGACCAAAAAAAGATTAGAATATACGAAATCTTGTGAAGGCGGTTTTGTCTTAAGCACCGAGTTGGATCAGAATAATGTCTTTTTTTAACAATTTATTCTTTAATTGTATCTTTGTTTGTCGCATTTGCTTAATAGTATAGTCCAATATTCGTAATTTACCATCAAATCTATTTATGGAACAAAATGAAGAAGTTAGTATCTTTGGGGTGTTATTGATACGAGGACTCATTATGAGTTTAAAGTTTGGTGATATTTCAAAACTAGATTAGTCGGCGTTAATGTTATATTTAACTGAATTTAAAAATTGTTCTTGTTGACGACAATATTGCTTACGGGATTCTATTAGCTAATAATTTTTAAAAGACATATTTTATGTTGACGTATAATTGTTTCTAATAATCGTTGAATCAACCCAACTAAATACCAGAATAAACCTGAAAATAACTGCCAGAAAGCTAAATTAGAAAGAGAGAAAAATAAAACAAAAATTGTAGATGAGACGATTAAAATCGTGTGTGTGTGCGCTTTGGGTTGATGAAAAGAAATGGTTCACCCAACACAAAATTGGTTAAGGTTTGGTACGAGAAGGTCAACCATGAGTTTTGTTGCTATTTGTCTCAGCCATTTACGCACATACACAAACCTCTTTTTATATATATAAACACAAGAAGATTAGTTCACATAATGCTTGATTTGGTTGTTGTGAACTATAGCATGTTGGATTTAAAAAATTGTTAAATTGTCCGGAGAACATTATAGTATTACTGTCTTAGTAGCTAGTACCCTAATGTGTGTAGTAATTAAAATCCCAACTTTTTGGAAATTCCAGTTATAGGCTGACCAGCAACATCAAAAAACGCATATATATACTTGGGCTTCATGGGCCTTTAAACAACATATGAAAGCTATAAGCTCGTTTAAAATTCAGAGACATGGGCCGTACTGAAATGTAACTTATATTATACTTTCCAAAACATAACATTCGTAATTGGACCTAAATCTCAGAGTGACGATCCAGATTAGTGATAAGATCAGTCAATCAATCAACAGTAGATAAAAGAAAGATTTTGGAAGAAAACGAATGATTTAAAATCATTAACACAGAAATTATTAATGACTCAATTTTCTGACCATAGTTTATACAATTCTTCCAAGGGAGGCATCTCTTTGAATAATCTATCGAACTCGGTCATCGTCCCCACTCGTCCTTCTCCTCCTCCTCCTCCGCCACCGCCGTAGAGCTGTCTAGTATCTTCACCGATTTTACCACCCCCACCGTAACAACGGCCGTCGGTAGCAGAGGGGGAATCAAAAGGACCGGCGGCGACGATGGCGTCCTTACCGGTGAGTTCTTGAACAACGGTCTTGAAGCTACGAGCATCTGTCTCAACATACTGTGTGTTAATGAACACAACTTTCATCGGCTCCGATTTCACTCTCCCTCTTCCAGACATTATTATCAAATAATTCGATTTAAGAAACAGAAAAGAAAATTTGTGGTGTTGAGATTGATGAAATGATCTTAGTTAGTATATAGCAGTTTAGCTCTTCCTGTGTCTTTGGGTGTTGAGGTGTTTTGTATATTTATATGGATAGTTGCATACTTAGGTATTTATAGAGAGATTAAAGAGAGAAAGATATTAGATATGAATCATATGATATATAATCTTTGTGGGGCAGTCAAGTGACTCATTTTAAGTAACATTTTCATATTGTTTTTGAAATGATTCATTATTATCTTGTCCTACATGAAACATATAGATGACGACTTAGTTTTTTCTTGTTTTTTTTCTTCCTGACGTCATGATACATTTTCGACGACCAAGCTTTTTAATCATATTCGTTGAATTTCCTAATTATTTTTATTATTTTGTTGTTAAAAATATTTTCCTAATTATTATATTGGCCGAACAATATTTATGGTTCTAGTTCTAGCAATGCTTACCAATGAATTTTATGATGAAACGATTACTAAATTTTGTCTATCCCGTAGAATTTAACAGCAACTGTCAACTTAAACAATTTTAAAACAGCAAAAAAATTAACTTTATTATTACTAATTGTTAAAATAAAAGATTAACTACATGTAAACTTTTTTTATAAACTATTATTAAGAACTGTAAACCAGCTAAAGAGTATTTGTTATACAAAGCAACAATCATTCTACCTTTCGCGAGATCAATCAAACTCACATGGCTTTGTGCATAGATAAGGACTCTTTGATATCATTGAGACATGTTGACCGTTAATAACATCAAGCAGCCTTGAAGGACCAAACATTAAAATTTATATATCACTATTAGTCTATTACTATCTAAAATATTTAAATTACCATAATCATATTGCATTTTCATTTGGTTGGGTCAAAGCACGCCTTCTTTGATGAAACCCTATCACATCACGTGAAACAGTCGAAGAAAAAACTATTGAAAACCTAAAAAGTATTTGCACGTGAGTAGAATATGCACGTCCCACACACTATTTCGTTATGACAAAATAAAATCGTCTTTGATTATGCTTCTAGAAAATGGTAAGGTGATGTCATTTGTTTTTCCAAAGGTGATGTCTTTTTTTTCATCGAAAAAGAAAACAATAATGGCTTTTACTTTTTTTTTCAAAGATCAAATTTATTAAAATAGTCAAAACATCCCAGACTGGGCTTTTAGTTAATAACCATGTTTCACCTTTTTGCAACAGCAGAGGAAATTTTTTTATATAAAACATAATAATAGGAGGTTAATATAAACATATATATTCACATTGAATTTCAAAAAAATAAACATATATTCACATGATTGTAAGGTAAATTTTAAATATATGCATCTTAAATTATATTGATATAAATGTAAAACAAAAGAACGATATTAATTTAAATGAGTAATGGAACATATTTGGGTAGATTTTACTATTTAAAAGAGATTAGAAGTTCAACATGATGCACAAGAAGTCAAGGATAGTTACATACGATGTTTCATGGGGAGTTTCTTGAGGGACCCTATCATTAATTCATTTCTCTGATATTTTGTTTTGTTGACTCAGACTTTCACTAACCAAATTCTTAGAAATTGCAAATTAGTTCATTGTACGGTTGTACTTTTGCGATGGCCCTAATTATGTTCAGTTGTGTTACCAACCACACAAAATTTAAACTGGCGTTAATTGTATTCGTATTTCTTATTGTCATCTTCCTATTAATTTTTTCTTATGCTTTATCCAAATTTTCATATGATGAATAAAAAGTATATATGGATCAGTACAGCTTTTAGAAGTTGATACGTAATTACGTATAGTCTATTTTTTGTTTGCTGATAAAATTTGGTGCAGTACGTTTTGTACGTATAGACTCATGAACAAACAAAGGCAAAGTCAAGTTTGGCTATAACGAATCAGAGTAAGATTTTGACTTCAAATCTTGACTCAGGAACCTCATGACTGTTTTCTTTTTGATTTGATCGCTTTAAAATTAAGTATATAGAGGTTGAACAGGTTAAGTATTATATGCTTTTACGGGCAATAGTTAACTCTCTCGACTGGGGTAAGACATGTCAATTCGAGTTTCATGCTTTTTGGACTTTAACTTTGAATGAATATTGCAGACATTTACTATTGTTCTATTGTTAGAGCTGATAACAATTCACCTAAGATCAGATTTATTTTGTAATTAAAAACAGTCCGTAATATTTTACTTTATAGAATTTAATTCCAATCAGAACCGAAACTATGAGTTTGTTCCATCTAGACCCATATTGCCCGAATATATAAAACATCCAATCCCCAACACAACCATACCTTAATGGAAACAACTTTTTAGTGGTTTTAATTCAAATAGTTAATAGGACTGGGATATTTTCCATGCTAATTATGTTATGTTAACTTGTTTTTGGTAAGCGATCCCAATTTGGTTGTTATAATCCGAAACCTAAATTATTGCGAAAAGATTGATAATCAATCCGTACCGTACGGTAGCAATTTTTTGTTGATCAACAATTATTCGACAAGATTGGAACAATTTACCTTATCTACTAATATTCTGTTCATATATAAGGAATTACAAAATATGCATTTATAATTTGTAATCATAGCAGCAATCAGAAACAAATCAATTGGTACTATTAAGGAAACATATTAACCAAGAAACAAATCAATTTAACCAAAAATTGGTACAAGAATCAAGCCACTGATGTAGATTTCTTATAGTATATTATAGGGACGATGATACTATCATTCTCTCATTCTTTAAAACAAAAGGCAACTTAAGAACAAGAAATAAAAATGGTGTCCATTATCAGCGGTTTTAAGTTAATTTTGTTCACAGCTGCCGTCGCTAGTATTATTTCAGCCGCCACTTCAGCCACTCTCGCCGGAAGAAAGGTCTTCGATGTTCGAAGCTATGGTGCTCGTGGTGACGGCAAAACAGACAATGCAATTGTAGTGTAAAAATTTCATTTTTATTTTGATCCAACTACAGGAACATTAATGTTTTGAATTTGTTGATTAATTCTAACACGCGTTTGATTATTGTCTTGGTTTGGCGTTTTAGGCGTTTACAAAGGCGTGGAAAGAAGCGTGTCAATGGAAAGGATACCCTAGAGTGTACGTACCATTTGGAACTTTCTACCTCGGTGCCGTAACCTTCACGGGACCTTGTAAAAGTCGGATTAGTTTCATCATCAAAGGAACTTTGTTAGCTCCAAAAGATCCTAAAGCCATCAAACAAGACACCTGGATCATTTTCAGGTATGTTGACTATCTCACGGTCTCAGGCGGCGGTATTCTCGACGGACAAGGAAGCTACTCTTGGCCACTCAACAATTGCCGCAAAACCCTTTATTGCCGGGCTCTACCTATGAACATGGGGTTCCAATTCGTGAGATTCTCGAGACTCACCCGCATCAAATCGATCAATAGCAAAATGGGTCACTTCAACTTCTTTGCAGTCCAATACTTTGACATCACACGTGTCAGAATTATGGCTCCCGGAGATAGCCCTAACACTGACGGAATCAAGATAGGTTCATCAAACCACATGAAGATCCACCACGTTGACATAGGAACCGGCGACGACTGCATCGCAATCTTGTCAGGAACCACCAATTTGGATATCTACAATGTGAAGTGTGGACCGGGTCATGGAATTAGCGTTGGAAGTCTTGGGAAGTTTAAAGGTGAGAAGAGCGTTCAGGGATTAAAGGTTAGGGATTCAATCTTTAACGGTACGAGTAATGGAGTACGAATCAAGACCTGGGCTTCGTCGGGTTCACCGAACTTAGTTTCGAATTTTCTTTACAAGAATCTCCAAATGATTAATGTCGAAAACCCAATCAACATAGATCAACGATATTGTCCAAATCCACCGTGCAGCTTAAAGGTAACTTCTTTAACAAGAAACAAGATTTTAGTTTTCTTGACATGATCTAATTTGTTTTTTTTTATTGTAGTCTTTTTCACAGATTCAGATAAAAGACGTGAAGTTCAATAACATTTGGGGAACGTCGACGAACAAAGTTGCAGTGAAGTTGCAATGTAGCAAGAATGTTCCTTGCAAAAACGTTGAGCTCTTCAACGTTAACTTAGTGCACCGTGGACGCGACGGTCCAGCCATCTCTTTGTGTGAGAATGTTGCCGGTTGGACACGTGGCAAGATTTCTCCTCCGTCTTGCATCCGTTGATCCACCTTTTGAATTTTGATTATATTATCCTTATTAGTTCATTGTAGCTTTTTATAATTTTGTAATTCTTGGCATCTCTTATCACTCGTTTAGTTTTGTCATGTTTGAGCAATTCTAAAGGGAAGTGAAGATTTGAAAAAGAAATAAAAAATTTCTTTGGCTTAAGTCATATTGGTTAATTCATTTGATTTTGATCATTCACTTTGTTTGTTTGGGCCAAGAGTCCAAGACATAAAAGATTAACTTTTCAGCGGAATGTAAAAGGTTAAAATCTCCACGCGCCTTTTATTTAAATCCAGCCGTTCGGGATCCGTGGCGTGACGCGCTGTAGGTGCGCGTAGGATCTGTTCTTCTAAGTGGCACACGGCATAATTCTGAAGTAAAATTCATTTTGTGGCCTAATAGTAGCCCAATACGGCCCAATATAAGCAGCCTATTTCATCTAAAACTAGAATTGTGTATTAAATTTTTATCGAGAGTATGCATAGTCATCAGCCTTTGTCTAGTAAAATGCAATATTGGAGCTGCTTAGTCAAGCAAAAAAAGGTTAGGAGGGAGTGCTTGGGTTTTAAGAAACGATAAGGGTGAGGTCTTGTTGCATAGTAGAAGGGCTTTGGGTGATTTGCATAATAGAAATGAGGTGATACTAAAGAGTGTCATTTGGGCTATTGAGAGTATGCATAGTCATCAGATCTCTAAGGTGCTTTTTGCTTTTGAGCCAGACGATTTGTTGGCAGCCTTCTCCAGAACAAAGGCTTGGCCTTCCTTCAGGTTCCAAGTGTCTGAGTTACTTCATTTTTTGGATAAGATTGTTGATTGGAAAGTAGTGGAAGAAAAAGTTAAGACTAACAGGAGAGCTTCTCTTATCGCTTAGAGTGTGGTTAAAGAGAACAGACTTCAATCTTATGTCGCTACAGGTTATCCTCTTTGGCTTCGACAACGTTTTGAGGTTGAGAGAATCTCTTTTTAGTGTTCTTAGAGCTTTTTGATGCTCTGCTTTCATCTTTGTCTCAGTCTTTGTGTGCATTTTTTGGTGTTTGGTTTTTCAACATGTAACCATTTACAACACTAACTTGTCTGTTGTATAGGTTGTGTTTCTAATCATCAATATAATCATTTTCAGTGAAAAAAAATATATATTAAATTTTTATCGTACACAATTTTTTTTTGTTTATTTGTTATTACTGAAAATTTATATGAAGAGCTACTTACTATCAATTTTTCAAAAGGATTATTTTTATTTTATATATAGAGTGCCATAAAGGGGATATCTGTGAGTCTATATCAGTCCATGTGAGTAGTTTCCACCACAAAATGATGGACATGATCACCTATGGCATATGGGCCATCACGCAATAGGAAGTTTTCACGTTTTAATTTATACTCCTACTCTAGCGAATATCTACAGAGACCAATTATTGCTTGTCTCATCAAATCTTAATTCCATGCTGATCATATGCTAAAAACATTGTGTAAATGTGTAAAGTCAATATATGTTGTAGCACTAAAGCATATTTAAAGCTTTTGATCAGTCATTGGACAAAGACCCTTGGACCAACATGTTACTTTAGTTATGTAATCATTGATTTTTATTATTTCAGTTTAGTTCTTTCCCTAATCATCAGCTGATTAGATTATGAATAAAGCGGGCATATGAAACCATTTGCGTATATGCTTTATATCCAATAAATGTGTTAGATAGTGTTGTTCATTAATCCGAAGATCTGATACGCAGCCCACCTTTGATATAATTAAGTTCCTAATTATGAAATTAATTGCTTTCTTGTATGTTACTATATATTAATCATTGAATAGGACAAACTATCGTTAACTACAATAATTTGGTTTATGATTTGAATTTAATTATTTAATCGAAATCATCGCAAGAACGCATGTTTCAGAGAATTTTATAACTTAAATGAAAGCAATTTGCAGCCAAAGATCCGTTAGGCCATAAGGGATTTGGGCATTTGGCAGTTTTTTCAGGTAAAGTCGGTTGGTCAAACCCTCGAATGCTTCCACAAGTCTATGCGATAGCGGTATAGCCTTTAGCCAATAGTGTCTTTTTTGTATACAGTACAAATTTGTTTTCATAGTGTATTACAATAATATATTCTTTTTCTCTTTTGTATATTATATATATATATATATATATATTACAATAATATCTTATTTTATAATATTTTTTATAATTTATATATGCTGTTTTTTTTTTCTACATGGTATCACATGTTGGACAAAGAAATAGCAAAATTTATAAATATATATTATTGAATCGAATTTCATATAAATCCAGTTATTTTGAGCTAAAATACGTTATGTTGCCTCAAACAACTATATAAATTTGGGCATTATATTAAGTGTTTTATAAAAAAAGGTTTAGTAGGTTCAATTAAGTAAACAAATAACAAGCAACGACCATGTTACTCATAATAATGGTCTTGCGAGCCAATCATAAAGTTTGTTAGTTACTAGTTGGATTAATTAATGTAGATTGTTGGACCGACCGTATCCTAACCTTTCAATGGATCTCAGTAAATCCAAAGCCACTATTCATCTATAAACCAATATCTTAAGTTATATTTGTTTGTTATTTATATATGTGCACTTTTTCCCACTACACAATAATAGGTATATATGAATCTTGGGGAAATTAGGTGACTTGGTTCAAGCATGTGTTTCCATGTGGTCACATGAATTGAACCTTATTGCATATATATGTACGTAACATATTGTAACTCATACGATTAATGCGTATATATTCACACATACTCTATAGTTTAAACTTCAAATCCTTCTGATTAGGGAAAATAATATATGGTTATCTATGCATATTTTCAAAGTACAGCCATAAAGAACAATTAAGTTTGGTGCTCGAGGTAGTCAAATTATGATTAGTCTAATCACTTTTATTTAGACGCATCTCTATTTTAAAACAGAAGATAATTTCAATTCAAACCTGAGATCCATTTTAGAATATTTGTGTGTGTTAGCGAGAAGGTCTTTCGGTATCATACATTAGTCATATTTTTAATTCATGTCCAAAATTATATACCAACGATGTTGCGAGCAATCAATATAACTCAAATGATGATAATAAAACGATCCATTTAGATAGTTCAATCATATAATAATGTTTCTTCCTAAAAATCACAAATCGAATAGTTTATTCTCTAGACCAACATTTGTATCATCATTTGGGAGTTTGGTTTACAAATCTGAAGCTGTGAAAATGGGCACCTGAAGCCTGCATGTTCCGTTAATTATATTAAGAATATATTAAAATGATTAATCAATGATGCATTTAGTGGACTGTGATGCATCTACGTGCTTCATTGCAATTTTCAAGTGGATGTTTACTCAACGACAATGATCATCACCAACCAACTTAATTTGATCACTCAACCTATTTCTATATAATCGAATCTCTTGTTAGAATATTTCATGTATATTATAAGACTGAATTCTGCATAACCCAATACTTTCTACTCAATTTTTTTTTAATCCCATTTTTCTCTAAATAACAAAATACAAAATTTCATTACAAAATTTAACGATCAGTTTACTGACCACGACAGATTTCTATTGATGTATGAATAATGGAATCCGTAGACACAAAACTATAACAAACATCTCGAGGACCTCTAGAAAAAGTGAAATTACGAGGTACGGTAGCAAGTGTATTTTCTAAAGTTATTAGTAATGGCTCAAAAAATTTATAAATCAATCGAAGAACAACCGGAAAAAGCCTCAACATTAATCAGTGTACTGATATCACTTTCGGTACACAAATAATGTCATAATCTCACTTACGCGTTGAAACAAATAAGCAAGCGCGTAAGACATCTATATATATACATTATTCTTTTTTTAAATGACTTGAATGCATGGCGTTACGTTTGGGCACATTAATTATGTAATTTGTTCGGTGCTTGTGTTATGTATTCTTCAGTGAGAACGCAAGTTAAGATTACGAAAATTATTTATGAATTTTCTTTTAATCAATTTACGGTTTCACGTCAAGACAATTGGAAAGACGCCACGTTGACGTAGTGGTGCGATGTAAAACGTTTTGATGTGGAGGCGACAAAGCGTCTTAACCCAAAAGCCAATCGCCACTTCCATTAGCCGTGGAACACACCAAACCCTATATTCATATGTTTATATGCATGCCCATTTTTTGTATGTCAATTAATAAAATAGTTTTCAATTTACTTGACACAGTTATTCTCTCTAACCGGATTAATTAGTTTCACGTAGGTTCGTCGAAGCAGCCGAAATATACTTAATACTATTCTCACACATATTTCTGAAAAGTAAAATTTATATATATGATCCGGACCAACATCGAACTAAAGGTATATGACTAGAATCTAAACTAACCACATTCGACTTAAGTCGTCCGACTAATTTTAGTACTGAGTCAAACCGATAAAAAAAACTGAAGTTACCGAATTTTCAACTGATCTCAGGCACCAAACTGTAAGGATCTGGTTCAACTTGCTTTACAAGAACTAGATAATACATCCACTCAATATACAGACAATCTCAGTCTCTACTTCCCAACATGCTTGTGATTTTTGTTCTTAATGAGATTTGGAATATCCAACTATTACTAGACCACAAGCAATTTGGACTAAATTTTAAAATCACTTAAAAGGTAACTAATAATTGGATAAGTTCTGATAGTGAACGTCTCACATTGTTGGTATATATCATCTCAATTGTTAAATTTGTTTGTTCTCTGTTACGTAAATTTATAAATAAACTACACTTATCGAAAGAAAACAAACAGTTTATCTCAAATAAATTCTTACCCTTCAAGAGGTAGTTATTCCTTCCTTTTCAATGACTTTTGCAATCACTTCTAAAACAAAACTTGATCAAATCTAGCTTCAAACATTTTTTGTATTCTTTTTTTTTTTTGGACAAATCAAACATTTTTTGTATTCTATCCCTTTTTTTGACAAATATAACCTTCCTTTCATTAATATGCACAAAAATTTATCTCTTAAAGCTAGAATGCTGGAAAGGAAAGATATCTTAAACTAGAAAATTTTCTAAGCGAAATAATCAAATTTATTACAACTACCCAAGATAATTACAAAATAAAATTAAAAATCTGAAACCAAATGCAGGTCTGATTTTTTTTTTCTTTTATCAAACAAAAAAACAAATGCAGGTCTCGTCATATAATTACGACACATGTATAAAGACGAGAAATACAGTAGAGAGAATGACTACCGAAAAGACGATAATACCCTTCCATCTTTCTTGTATATATAGCCTTCTTGTTCCGAAGATACATTATACATACTCTCATCTCTCACAATATGGACAAAACACAAACTTGGTCTTGAAGAAACCAATCTTAAACCCCAAAACGCAGCGTTTTATCAAGAATCGACTATGGCTTCTACTACCTTACTTCCTTCTACTTCAACCCAATTTCTTGATCGAACTTTCTCAACTTCATCTTCTTCTTCGAGACCTAATCTTCAATCTCTTTCGTTTTCCTCCACACTCGGCAGCAAGAAACTAATCCCTTGCTCTGTTTCTTCCTCCGTCAACAAAAAATCTTCCGTTTCGTCTTCTCTTCAATCCCCGACTTACAAATCACCGTCTTGGAAGAAACTATGCAACGATGTCGCCAATTTGATCCCGAAAACGACTAATCAGAGTCCAACATTAAACCTGGTACAGAGAACCGCCGCTACTGTTTTAGACGCGGTGGAGAACGTTATGATCTCCCACGAACGCCGCCGTCATCCGCTTCCTAAAACGGTGGATCCCGCCGTCCAAATAGCCGGAAACTTCTTCCCGGTACCGGAGCAACCAGTCGTGCAAAACCTTCCGGTGGCTGGAATAGTACCAGATTGCATTCAAGGAGTTTACGTCAGAAACGGAGCGAATCCGCTTCACAGACCAATCTCCGGCCACCATTTATTCGACGGAGACGGTATGGTTCACGCCGTTCGGTTTGATAACGGTTCGGTTAGCTACGCTTGTCGGTTTACCGAAACAAACCGGTTGGTTCAAGAACGAGAATTTGGTCGCCCTGTTTTCCCCAAAGCAATTGGAGAGCTTCACGGACATTTAGGAATCGCCAAGCTTATGCTCTTCAATACCCGCGGGCTATTCGAGTTAGTCGACCCGACCAGAGGACTCGGTGTCGCTAACGCCGGTTTAGTATATTTCAATGGTCATCTCTTAGCAATGTCTGAAGACGATTTACCGTACCATGTCAAAGTCACTCAAACCGGAGATTTAGAAACTTCGGGTCGGTACGATTTCGACGGTCAGTTAAAATCCACAATGATAGCCCACCCGAAAATCGACCCGGAAACCCGAGAGCTATTCGCTTTAAGCTACGACGTCGTTTTAAAGCCTTACCTAAAATACTTCAGAGTCACATCCGACGGCGAGAAATCACCAGACGTCGAGATTCCGCTTGATCAACCAACGATGATCCACGATTTCGCAATCACTAAGAATTTCGTAGTGATCCCAGACCAACAAGTGGTTTTCCGATTGCCGGAGATGATCAGAGGTGGTTCTCCGGTGGTTTACGACGAGAAGAAGAAATCAAGATTCGGGATTTTAAATAAATACGCGAAAGATGCTTCGTCGATTCAATGGATAGAAGTACCAGATTGTTTCTGTTTTCATCTCTGGAACTCTTGGGAAGAACCAGAAACAGACGAAGTTGTCGTGATTGGATCATGCATGACGCCACCTGATTCAATTTTCAACGAACACGACGAAACGCTTCATAGTGTTTTGTCGGAGATAAGACTAAACCTCAAAACAGGGGAATCAACACGTAGACCGGTTATCTCCGAACAAGTTAATCTCGAAGCCGGTATGGTAAACCGGAATTTATTAGGTAGAAAAACCCGGTTTGCTTATTTGGCTTTAACCGAACCGTGGCCTAAAGTATCCGGTTTCGCTAAAGTGGACTTATCGACCGGAGAGACTCAAAAGTATATTTATGGAGATGGTAAATACGGAGGAGAGCCTCTGTTTATGCATTCCGGTGATGGAGAAGAAGACGGTGGTTATATTATGGTGTTCGTTCACGACGAGGAGAAGGTGAAATCGGAACTCCAAATCATAAACGCGGTTAATCTAAAGCTTGAAGCTACCGTTACGCTTCCGTCGAGAGTGCCTTATGGTTTCCACGGAACGTTCATCAGTAAGGAAGATTTATCGAAGCAAGCTTTGTGTTAATTAATTTTAGATTTTGAATCTTGTAGGATTGATAAATGTTAATATGAGTGATAGTGATTAGTGACGGAGGATTGTTGCCTGAGGGATTGTTATGCATTGGTCTCCCCGGGAACGAGTCTCTTGGATTTTAGTTATGCGTATATACTATGATTAATCATTAGAGAATTAACTAAAGAAAAAATAGCTAATTATATGACATTTGTTGGATTAATTAGTCTGATCAGTTGGACTCATTTGTTACTTGGGATAATTATGGAGTTATTAACAATATATATTTCTAAAGAATCAAGTATCCCCAATGATACAATTACAAATTTTGCTTCTTTTTTTAATTTACACAGAGAATTTGTTGTTTCGCATAAAAATTTATAGATTCGATCAAAATTCATGTGATCAGTGATCTCTGTTTTGGGAATGGGTCCTACTTTTATCTCTTGATCGTTTTTTTGTCTTTCTTTTACGATTATCAACTACTTTTATTTATGTGCTCGATTTTCATCTTTTTGCAATAATTGGTATTACACCAAGTGTCAATAACATAATTGGTAAATTAAAAATCTTTAATTTAAGTGACATTAGAAAAAATTATATTAAATGTTTTAATCTATATCTTGAAGGAATGTACGAATCTAGGCCTAAAACTTTATACCGATTCAAAAATAAAAATAATTGGTATTATAAATTACGAAATTACCAATACTTACCATTCAAATGATTTTTTTGTTCAACTAAAGTCAGAAATACAAATTTTAATTGATATCATTAAGATGTTTAACAATTACAGACCCGTAACTTCGTTTGAATATTCGGTTTTCAATTTCATACGTAAAAGTATAGTGTAAATGTTGTTCTAGATTTGGCAAAAAAACATTAATGTTCCACAATATAGTATGGATTGAATTGTGTTTTTGTTGTTTCTTATGTTACATAAGTTTGCATTTGTTTTGTACGTATATATATAGTTTCTTTAAATCTATAAATACAATTTGTCGCTATATAATCTTAAGTTAAAAGGATTTAACTTATTGATTTACTTTATTCATGGATTTACGTCGAGGTTGTTGCGATTTCTAATTTTAGCACACTGGATACATCTCACAACTTTGATCGTACACGTAAGCGTATACATAAGCACTCGCATTTCATAGTAGCCAATCGATTGATTCGACTCTTTGAACATGTAATACACTTCGTATATAGCAACTCTTTCCTTTTCTTTTTTGACAAAGAAAAAGTATGACTGGTTTCGGTGCCGACAAAGAAAGAGACTGATTTGGATTGACAATTTCGGATTTATAACGTGCAAACCGTGTCTTTTTAAGTAGATATTTTTATCAAAATTGTAATCATACTAGGAAAAATCGCATTAAGATCATACGAATTTTATACATGGCATTTTTAAATAGTATATTTTCCGAAAAATACGCTGATGCATCGGAATTTGACGCCTGATCAAAAACATTAGAATATAGAAAATCAAGTAATGACGTCCCACAAGATTTTTATGTGTGTTTCATCGATGGATCCTGGCACGCTACAGAAGCTCGAAGCGGACATGGTTGGATCGTCGGGATTGGTGATAGGATCTTACACCTAGGGATGAAAGGTTCCCGCAGATGTCTTTCTCCTCTCCACACTGAGCTAGGAACCCTTTTTTGGGCAATGAAAAGTTTGCTGGCACTTTCTTTGGATAGAGTTCTCTTTGCGACGGATTGCTCAGATTTACTTGCTATGACTGCTAGTATCGAGGATTGACTTACTTTTGCGTCAGAGCTAACAGATTTCAAACACTATAAAAATCTTTTGTATATTTTAGTATTATGCATATCCCCGAGAGGTCAATTTCCGTGCTGATAGACTTGCGAAATATGCAAGAGCACGTGGTTTCTGTTTTTTCCATGTAAGTCCGTCGGTCCCCGATTGGTTCGTTCTCGAAGAGAGTTACTTCCGATAATTTTGATAATTTAATAGATGGGGTTTGAGGGAAAAAAAAAAAGATAGAAGCTAAAATGCCACGGTATACAGTACGTAGGGAGTCCATTCGATGTTTCTAGATCAGAGTCTACAGACTACAGAGACTTCTAGATACATATTCTAACAGTATACATAACAATTTTTCAAAGTATCTTATTGTGTGTGTGCTTTTCTTTTAGTCAACTATTTTGTGAATATTGTAAGATGTATCATGTTATGATAAGAGTACGTTGCTACGTGTCGTGAGATGTCGAAACCAACGCAAGCATGTCCAGGTTGGTTTTTACGCTATTTTCTTCTTTACGAAACAATCTATATATGTTTATAATGAATATATCACATTATCAACATTATCTGAGCGAAAAACCCGTACGTATTAATTATTATTACTCGACGAAAAATAAATACCCAGTTTAGCTGATTTTGTTTTCTTTGGTGGCATACCCAATTTAGCTGAATTTGTCAATTATTATTGATTTATGATATATACTTAGGATTAGCTATATTTTTTTATAGCTTTGACATTAATACTTTTGAATTACATATATTTATGACTAGAAAATTTAATATAGATATAAAAAAGCATCCGTTACATAAATTTTTGGTGCGAGTTTATATTTTCTGGAATTAAAAAGAAAATAAGAGAATTTAAAAGAAGAAGAAAGTTTGGTTTGGCCACAAGAGTTATGAAAGGTCAGCCAGGTATGATTTTGTTCCATGCTCTTAGACCATGCCCAGTGGTGATATTTTCTGAGTATCAGAAGCCCAGAAAATATTATGTAATGGACCAAACAACCTTTTTGGGTCTGAGTCGTATCACTGGACTGATACTTCTGATACCCAGTATCAAATGACGTGGCACGTGATGATTGGCGTTGCAACGCGTTTTGGCTATAGAAAAAAAAAAAATTTATTGCATCTCTTCGATCCTGCTTTCGGTCCCTCCGCTTCTCCTCACGCCGACGATTTCGAGCTCTCTCACGCCGGCGATTACGAGCTTGTTCCCTGACGAGCTAAGGTAAATTTGATTTCGTTTGCAATTTAGATTCAATCCCTCCTAATTTCTATCTATTTCTCTGATTCATGCTTACGTTTTTGCCAATCAATGGATTTTTGTATTGAGAGTGTTCTGTAATATGGGTTTCTTCGATTTCAAGTAGTCCTTTTTCGTGTTTCTCTCATGTCGGGTTTAAACCCATCTTCTCCGTGAGTTGTTTCATAGTGATTTCTCTAACTAAGGTTTTTACTTTAGGCATTAGAGCTTACTTATTGATTTTGAGAATTGGGTATTTGAACTTGCAGAAGTATAGTGCCTTACATTAGAAAATTTTGGTATTTGAGCTTACTTATTGATTTTGAGAATTTGGGTATTTGAGCTTACTCTCTTGTGTTATGCTTTTGTATGTTTCCGGCAAGTATTCATCTTCTTTAAATCTCAAACTTCATAGAATCGTGTCCTTAAGATGTTTGATGGTTTTCCTCACTATGTTTTAAGGTGAAGTGTGTGTGTAGTGTTTAGGATTTGTATATCTACGACAACTTGTTGATGACTTTAGGTACTCAACAGTCAACACTTTTGTTTCAATTTCAGAACTTTCTGTTACTTTGATTGATTTCTAGTTGGAGTGATGTTCTGAAGTTTGAATGATCAAGTAGCAAAAGAAGACCCTTTGAACATCTTTGTTCTGAAGTTTTCTGTGGTTTAAAGCTCAAAGTCTGAAACTTTTTTGTGCTTTGTTGATGTGCTCTTTCGAGGTCTCATTTCATTCTTTTGTGCATACAGTTCACTGAAATGATACAATCTCTTTTTGACAGGATCATTCAAGGAGGACCTGTGAAAATGGGTCTAGAGAAAAGCTTTAGCATTGCTCTTAAACTCTAGTTTCAGTCTATTCAAAAGAACAAAACTAAAGCCAAGACAAAGAGTTTTCTGATAATATACGATTGATTGTGTTGAAGACATATATGCACACAGCCAAGATTCTCTTCTTGCCCTCTTCTGGATTCTCTCAATCTTTTGGATGAGGTTTTGTCTTAGACTTGTTTTGGAAACTTTGTTGTATTGTGTTACTTCTTGAGCAAATATAGTCTTCTAACATTTGGCCATCGAATCTGCCAAAGGTTAACAAACCACTATTTCTTGTCTGTAAATTCAAAGAGTCATAAAACTTGAACACGATTTGGGGAAAATCTTGATGGAAGTGTTGGAGAAAAGAACCTGTCAAAGAATGTCGAAGACTTCACATTTAAAAATAAAAACTAATCTTGACATTTCATTAGTTCTAATAAAACACATCGTGTTTAATAGATTAATTAATTCAGGTTCATATTTTGGTGTATTTACTACACTTGTATAATTATTAAAAATTAATTCATTACCCAAAAAAAAACTAAAAATTATTACTAGCTAAACAAATATTTTTTATGGTCAATCGAGCTCAAATATGTCATGAACAAACACATCGACAATTGAAAGAAGATTTGATTGAACATATTTGGCAAAAATGGGGCCAAAGTAATTGACTACAAGCGACTAAATTATTTTTATCATCATGTTTTTTTTAAGTTTTTTTGAATTTTATGTTTTATTTTGCTTAAGTATATTCTACGTTTTTTTATTGTAATATTACCTTTTGTAATCCTATGTTTTAATATATTAATTTTTGATTTTGAAATATATTTTTTTTAATGATACTTAAAGCGGTCTCACCAATGCAAACATATTTAGTAGGAGTATCAGAAAAAATCTCAATCAATAAACAAATATTATAAATAATACTAAAAAATTCCTAATGATACTATATCAGTATCACCTATAAGTATGCTCTTATGCGTCTCTATATTACAAACAAAAATAAAAATCAAGAACTTATTGCAGCTGTTATCGTAAAAAGTGACCAGAAGGAAATTTGTATAATATGATACAAATTCAATGTTACATTTTAGAACTTTTTAAATGTCAAACTATAGCTCTAACAAAAACAAATGTGTATCTTATATTACTTATATCAAATTATACAAGAAAAATGCTACTTACAAAAAAACATAAGAATAAGGGTTATACATCGTTACAACTTACAATTATGAGATTTAAATCAATATTAATAATTAAAGTAAAACTCGATGATGAACAACGATATATAATCGATTACAAGGGGATTAACAAAAGATACGCAAAGAGGAAAGAAAAGAGAAGGTAGAAGAGTTGCGATAGCCGATAGCCATTGGAATTTCACTGTGCACCAAATCAAAGGATATATATGAACGAAGAAGAAGAGAATACATACAAAGTTTCATACATTCAATCTCTACAGCTTTGGGACTAAACGTGCCTGAGGAGCATCCCAATCAGTGATAATGTGGTTACGTGTGATCTCTTTTAAACTGGTGCATCCACTTAGTGCCATTGTGAGTTCGAACTCTTCTCTCATCATCTGTAGCACTTTCCTCACTCCAGCCTCTCCTTCGGCCGCCAAGGAGAACACCACCGGCCGTCCGATCTGTTTCCCAACAAAAGATTAAGAAATCGACGAGAATAAAAATTGGGTTTCTTGTATTCCAAGAACAGTGAATTGTTTCTTGTTTTGCAAGAAACTTTTGTCTCCTGGCACTTACAAATATTCCTGCCGCTCCAAGGGCGAGGGCTTTGAAGACATCAGTCCCACGGCGAACACCACCGTCTAAGAACACCGGAATCTTTCCCTGAGCTGCTTTAACAACCTAAAACCGGCAGGGTAGAATCATCAAGAGTAAATTCTAATTAGAAAACTTCAGAAAGTTGTAAAAGAAGTTGATTTTTAGTTCTAACTAACCTCTTCAAGGGCTATGATTGTGGCTGGGACGTAATCAAGCTGTCGAGCACCGTGGTTAGAAACAATGATACCGGCTGCTCCTGCTTGTACCGCCATCCTTGCTGCAGACAAAAAAAGAGTAACATACACTTTTTGGGGGATTTGTCACAAAATGTAGAGTAATAACACATGAAGCTAGTGAAGAAGATGAATGAGAGTTTTGTGTTGTCGATTTTAGGGTTTTCTCACCATCCTCAGCTGTGAGAACACCTTTCACCAGAATAGGCAGCTTTGTGATTGTCTGAAGCCACTGCACATCCTGTATCATGTATCTCAAAGAGGATCAATCACAACAAGTTTTGTTTTATTGATCTGTAATAGTTTCCCAAATCATTGATAATTACTGATTTACCTTCCAGCTCAAGGTACGATCAATTTGTCCAGCCACATAGGATGCTAGCCCTGAATCATTTGCCTGCAGAATTCACATAGCATGTTTAGGAAAGTGCCAAAACACATAGAAATTACATATGTGATCAAATATGTTATTACCTCATCCATCTTGCCAAGGTCAAGACCTTCAAAATTCTTCAAAGTCAAGTAAGGTGGCAATGTAAATCTGTTTTTGATATCAGATTCTCTACGACCAAGTCTTGGTGTATCGACAGTGAGAGCGATTGCTTTGAAACCAGCTCTCTCTGCTCTTCTCACAAGCTGGGCCACCACGTTCCTGTCCTTGTAGACCTATAAAAACAACTGAATCTTGAACCTTCTTGATTTCATGAGAGAGCAATATAGCGTGCGATGGAGCTTACATAGAGCTGGAAAAAGCGGATTCCGGGTCCTGTTGAAGCAACCTCTTCAACGCTAGAAGTAGCCCATGAAGATAGTGTCTGCAACAAAAGTTTTATGATGTCTCAACCTCAAAGTTGTGACTTTTCAGAGAAGACATAAGAAAGGTTCAGAGTCACACCATGATAGTTCCCGCGGCGGATGCAGCTCTAGCCGTAGCATACTCACCTGAAGATAACAACAAACGTGAAGATGAGAAACTATCATGCTCTGTTATTTACTCTGTTCTGTTTCTTGAATTCTTACCCTCGGGATGAGCCATCTTTTGCATAGCAGTTGGAGCAACCATGATGGGCATAGATATCTTGAATCCCAAGACAGTTGTAGTCATATCAATCTTGCTAACATCAATCAGAATCCGAGGCCGAAACCTTGATGAGAAGAGAGAAAGAGACATGGTTTCGTTTGATCAGAGATGCTTTCTTGATCAAAAAAAGACAATTGATTAGGGACTTAGGGTTAAATTTAATCAAAAGCTCACAAGATTCGAGAGAAAGCGTTTCGGTTCTCTTGAAGAGTCCACTGGTCTTCTGCACCAGAAGCATAGTAATCGAAAACCATCTTTGGTAACTTCTCCTTAGCGATGGCTTCATACTCGTTAACGTTAGTGATCTCCATCTCCTCTAATAATCTGATCGTCAACTCTTTTAGCTAATCTCTTTTAAAAATCTGAGAGAAGAGAGAGAACAGAGCAAAGACAATATCAGTATATACATGTGTAAGGTCGAGGATCTGTGAGAGATTGAAAGCTCACCAAATTGAGGAATAGAAGAGACTTTCGGACTTGGACTAAAGCTGCTGGTAACAGAAACTATTTCATATAAGGGGAAATTTTCTGCATGAGGACAAAAACTCATTGGTGTATATTTCCTACTTATGTATGTGAATAGGATGAGAAATTGGAGGCGAGGATTTGGAGAGGAAACAGAACCAATCGAATTAAGAGTTTTCTTATCCAAAACAAACCTTTTTTTGTGTTGCTTAGTTTATTTCCTTTTTGATTATTATTTCTCACCTACATGAGAAAAGTAGAGACCATTTGCCTCACCATTTGTCAATTTCTGTCTTTTTGAATTATGTGATTTTATGCATAGTGTTTCATTAGTGTTGTATACGAAAAAAAATTAAGATAATAATATGATTATACGAGCATGTTAATATAATTGTGTATTTCAAAGACATGGTTTTATTACAACAAAGAGATAAAGGGTGCGAGTGGCTTGTGAACATTGGAGGCTTTTTTCTTTAAGCGACAATTTATCTTTACAATTCGTGAATCACCTCTAGAAATATTATACCAAAATCTCAAAAAGTATTTATAACATGTTATATTTCAAAAACATTTTAAAACAAAACAAGTGTTAAAAATTTAATTATGTGTAAACCATATTGAACCTAGAACACCTCTTAGGGGTTTGGATGATGTATCCAATTAGTTTACACAAAATTTAAAAATTTAACACTTATCAAAAAAGAAAAAAAAGACAAAACATTAAAAAAAAAGACAAGTGTTAAAATTTTAATTATGTGTAAATCATATTGAACCTAGAATACCTCTTAGGGGTTTGGATGATGTATCAAATTAGTTTACATAAAATTAAAAAATTTAACACTTATAAAAAAAAACATTTTAAAAAAACATTCAAAAACAAAACAAGTGTTAAAAGTTTAATTATGTGTAAACAATTTTGAACCTAGAACACCTCTTAGGGGTTTGGATGTTGTATCCAATTAGTTTACACAAAATTAAAAAAATTTAACACTTAAAAAACGTTTAAAATTTTATATAAAAACATGATTTGAAAAAACATTTTAAACCTGAAAATAAAACCTTTTTCTGTGATAACAAAATCAAGAATTAAAATACTAAAATCAAAATATTTCTTAAGAGAAAAAGAGAAGAGAAAGAAATTAAGAGAGGTACCTTGTTCGACGAAACAGAGACTAATCGACGATCATCCTGAGGAGACGCTTTCATGATCCCAGCCATGGAAACACCGTCTCTCTTTGTCTCTTCCTTCGTTGTCCTCTCTCCTTCGCCGTTGATGAAAGCGTTTCGGTGGCCCGCCGTTGACCGGATTTGAAATCGTTTGGATTGGGTGAAGATGACTCACAACAGAGGATGGAGATAAATCTTACGATCATTGTTTGTTTGTTGAAAAGACGAGAGAATCCGATCAAAAACGATAGTTGTGTTTAGAAAAGACAAGAGAATGAAAGATGAAGAATTATTTTGTTATGGTATTGAAGAAGAAGAAGAGAGAAGAATGAGAATGAATTTTGATATCTCAAGGAAGAAGAGAGAATGAGTGATGTTGGAGATTCAGGTTTTTATTTATAAGCATTAGCTTCTTCAAATAAAAGGAAACTTTCGATTGTTTCCTTTTCTCTTCAAGGCTTGTTTCCTTTTCTTATTAGGGTTGACTAAAAAATAAGAAAATCTGAGAACGTTCGAGAGATCTGGACCGTTTATTTTCATCACGTTGCAAGATATCGGACGGTGATAATCTAATTTAAACGGTAAGTTTGTAAGTTTTTTTTTAAGCGACAATTTATCTTAGCAAAACGTGAATCACCTCTAGAAATATGATTTTGGTATAATACCAAAATCTCAAAAAGTATTTATAACATGTTATAGTTCTGTTTACTTGAATGAGTTTAAACAGCTGCTAATCAAACCCAACATTGAATTCTAACCGATATCACGTTGGATATCTTTGATGATGAATTGACAAACCAAATTATGATTGTTTTTGTTAATGGGTTTTCAAGTCAAAACTTAGAAAGAAGCAAAACTGTTTTTACAAGCCCGGTCCAGACCCATTTTGTGTAAGATAGCCCACATCACCATAACCATAACAAAATTAAGATAGACCAATAGTGAACCAGGAATCGACATATTTCTAATGGATCTCTCTCGCTTTCGAGATCATTGTCGACGACCTTCTCGAGATCATGTGGTCACGTCAGGAGTAGAAACACAGTGACGTAGTAACACAATCTCTACAGTCCCATCGAAATATCTCGACAACTCCAATTAACTCTATCAACGTGTACGTCTCTACCACCTTCTACCTATACTACTTCCTAGAATTTTAGCTCACTTTTCTATATTCTTCTGTAATTCTTGCACGTTCTTCGACTAATTTTCAGTATGAACAATTTTTTGTTTCGATTATATCTATCTCAAGTAAATAATTTGCTGATATAAATTTAAGTGTTCACACAATTTAAAATTGTGTTAATTCATCCAGTTCTTTTTTACTTACAAATTATTTTTCATCATCTTTTAACTGAGTACTAAAAAGAAATTAATATCTTGTTTAAGAAATCCATTATTTTTTGGGTTAATCGAAATCCATAATTTTCTGTGACGACCAAACTCCCAATTTGCTAATAATAGAGTCCAAACGATTTTTTTTCTTTTTCGTGATAGAGTCCAAATGAATATTTGCAAGTTATGTCCTAAGCAGCCTCTAGTAGAATCCTATACTTAAAATGGTCCCAAAAAAAAAATAGCGAAATTTAATATAAAAATAAAATGGAATGAAGATATAATTATAAAATTATTACTTTAAAAAGCTTTAAAACCTGGCCACATGTTTTTAAACTTTAAAGAGTGGTGACGTAACGACTAGAGTCAGCAAAATCCATTTTCGTATCATTAATTTTCTCATCTATAAATAAAACTGACCTAAAACCCTCACATAAGTGTCCAACAAACAAATCGAGAAACACGAACACTCAATAAAATATCTCTCTTTTGTGAGCTTTAGCGATCGTAACAATGGCGAACGAGGTGATTCTTCTTGATTTCTGGCCAAGTATGTTCGGGATGAGGACGAGGATCGCATTGAGGGAGAAAGGTGTTGAATTTGAGTACAGAGAAGAAGATCTAAGGAACAAGAGTCCTTTGCTTCTCCAGATGAATCCGATTCACAAGAAGATTCCGGTTCTCATCCACAATGGTAAACCGGTTAACGAATCTATCATCCAGGTTCAGTACATTGACGAGGTCTGGTCTCACAAGAACCCTATCCTTCCTTCTGATCCTTACCAGAGAGCTCAGGCTAGATTCTGGGCTGATTTCATTGACAAAAAGGTATCTAATTTCTTTGTGCCCTTGATTGTATAATGTTGATTTTGAATTGGGGATTTCATAAAAATTGAAACTTTATTTGAGTTTGCAAGTGAAACGCTTAGAGAAATTAAGCCCAAATTTTAGGGGTTTTTTCGCGTGTAGACTCATTTTTGAGCTTGTCAGGGTTTGTCTGATGTTGTTATGTGTGTAGGCTTAGAGATCTCACCCCCAAATTTTAGGGTTTTGCTTTGTAGACATCATCTTTGAGCTTGCCATGGTTTGTCTTAGATAGGTCTAGGGTCTATGTCATGTTACTTGTGCAAGTTGGGGATTTCAAATACCGGTTTTGCTTTGTAGACATCATCTTTGAGCTTTGTTTGGGTTCATTTGATATAGTTTGATGCTATGTTTCGTTTGCAATTTGGGGGTTTCTAGTACTGGTTTTGCTTTGTAGACATCATCTTTTAGCTTTGTTTGGGTTCGTCTGAGTTCTGACATAGCTTAATGTTATGTTACTCTGTGCAATGTTTCAGCTGTATGATGCTCAGAGGAAGGTGTGGGCGACAAAGGGTGAAGAACAAGAGGCAGGCAAGAAGGACTTCATTGAGATACTAAAGACTCTTGAATCTGAGCTTGGAGACAAGCCTTACTTTGGTGGCGATGATTTTGGCTATGTAGACATTGCATTGATTGGATTCTACACCTGGTTTCCAGCATACGAGAAGTTTGCTAACTTCAGCATCGAATCAGAGGTTCCGAAACTGATCGCTTGGGTTAAGAAGTGTTTGCAGAGGGAGAGCGTGGCTAAGTCCTTGCCTGATCCTGAGAAGGTTACTGAATTCGTCTCTGAGCTCAGGAAGAAGTTTGTACCTGAGTAAATCTGTTTCTCTTGTCATCTGGTTTGGATGCTCTCTGTTTTACTTTCCTATGATATCGTTCTTAAATAATGCAGAGCATCTGTGACTGTGAGGTGGTTTGAGTGTAGAGAATGTATGTCTTTGCTTTAGCAAATTCGTGTGTTTGCTTGAGTTTAAGGGTTTGTCCTTAATTTGTATGGATCTTAAGTATGAGTTTAATTAATGATCGTTAATCTCTTGTGATTTTTACTTTGAAATGTAATTTTGTGCATACGTGAGGAGTGACTCTTCTAAAGCTTATCACGCCAATGTTGCTGTAAAAGACAATGGTGCAGAACTACAGATGGCCGATTAAAACTCCAATATTGAGAATGATGGGCCGGTATGGGCCTCATAAGCCCAAATTGGTATCCGTAAGTTCATATTGTAGTCAATTGAATGTTATGTGATGGATGTGATCATTATGTTGGTAATGATCAATCGAGTTTTTTATCGGATTCGCCACGGGTTTAGTGTTTCGCTTGCCGGATTTGAAATTGACAGATCAAATAACGTTACTCTCATCTGCATAGTTCATGGGATTTAAATTTGAATTTGACTTACGATTACAACAACTATATTAACACAAATAAGTACTCTCCTGTAATTTTGGGATCAATTTGTAAATTTTGAAATATTATTTTCAAAGGCTTTATATTTATAAATAAACGTATACACACGTATATATAGAAAATTTGAAATATACACAAAGATAAAGCATTACATTTGTATGTATTTGTAAAATCATGGTGTATATGATATATTTCTCAATCAATAAGTATAGCTAATATCGCTCCTTGTGTAAATGTCCTTGTAATGTCTGATATCAAATCAAGGGAATCACGTGGTACTGAGAGATAATAATACAAACAACTGTGAGTAGGTGACCACGCCAAAAGTAGAGTGATGCAGCAACTAAGCAAAGTATTACTAATTCACTCGATCAACTTTTTATCCCATAACTTAAGTCGATTTCTATATTTGTCAAGTTCTAATTCCATTCTAATCTCTTACATCTAAGTTTAAGCTTTGAACCAGACCAAAAAAGATAATCACACTCTTCTATATTAAGTGATGTTTTCACTAGTTGCACACATACATATTTAACAAAGTTGCAAAATACACTTTAAATCGTTAAGGGTAAAAGCTTTATATATGGACCGTATCCTTTTAAAAAAGCTGATGTGACGTAGCAGGTATCAAAATCCTTTCCATGTCATTATTTTCCCCTATAAAACAACCGTCACTCACACCTTCTTCTATACTATAACACATAGTCACTTGTTCACCACAACAAAAATCAAGAATATATACCACTTGTGAACTTCAGAGATCCTATATCAATGTTGAACCTGCCGATTCTTTTGGATTACTGGCCGAGTATGTTCGGGATGAGGGCGAGAGTTGCGTTGCGAGAGAAAGGTGTTGAGTTCGAATACAGAGAGGAAGATTTCTCGAACAAGAGCGCTTTACTCCTCCAAAGTAATCCCATTCACAAGAAAATCCCGGTTCTGATCCACAACGGTAAACCGGTTTGTGAATCTCTTAACGTCGTCCAGTACGTTGACGAGGCCTGGCCCGAAAAGAACCCGTTCTTTCCTTCCGATCCTTATGGGAGAGCTCAGGCTCGATTTTGGGCCGATTTCGTGGACAAAAAGGTAACTAATCCCTTTTGTGCCCTAGATTTCTTAACTTGAGTCTGAAACAACGTGTTTTAGGGTTTGAGTGTAGCGTGTCGATTTAAAAAAAGTGAGTTGATTCCTCTGACATAGTTCGATATTCTGTAATGGATTCAGTTCACCGACGCCCAATTCAAGATATGGGGGAAGAAAGGTGAGGAACAAGAAGCAGGCAAGAAGGAATTTATTGAGGCAGTGAAGATTCTTGAAGCTGAGCTAGGAGATAAACCTTACTTTGGTGGAGATAGCTTTGGGTATGTAGACATTTCCTTGATTACATTCTCCAGCTGGTTCCAAGCCTATGAGAAGTTTGGTAACTTCAGCATCGAATCAGAGAGTCCGAAACTGATCGCTTGGGCAAAGAGGTGCATGGAGAAAGAGAGTGTGTCTAAGTCTCTCCCTGACTCTGAGAAGATTGTTGCATATGCTGCTGAGTATAGGAAAAACAATCTCTGATCTGAGTAAATCTTGTGGTTCTCTTGTTGCTAAGCTGTGTTCTGTTTTTATCTTTTTTTTTTTTTCCCTAATAATGCGAGAGAGCCTTAGTGACTGTGTGTTGTGGTTTGTATCCATCCTTAAGTATGGAATTTAAATAAAATTTGTTTCAATGGTCGTATTCACGAAGTAGTTTAGTAGAATAACATCCTTTTCAAAAGGCAGACACAAGAAAAAGTTGGACTTCTTTTTTTTTTTTCACTTGTCCAGTATATACGAAAACAGTAGTAGCATATAATACAGAGCAATCAATAAAAGGAGGTGGCCACGTTACAATCATGCAAGAAGTAGTGGCTCTACTAAAGTAAGATTAAAGGAAATTTGGGTTCTCATTTCTCAACCAATTTTGGGAGGACATGGCAGACTAAAGCACTCTCTAAACTCCACTAAAAAGTTAAAACACCTCTGATCCATTATCACTATTATTAGGATTTGTTTTTTTTTCTTAAGAGAATATAAATTGATCCCTAACATAAAAGCTGGTCAGGTCCCTTACTTTGAGGCTTTGAGTGGAGACTCCACTACGGTGTGGCTCACCTACAACTTTTCTCTAATTATCTTTTTGTTACACTATTCAACCACCAAATTATCCCTATCATTTACAGGTGTGTTCTGTTGTTTTAGTGATCAACAATACAATTCTATTCTAAACATATCGTCTCGGTCATTCAATTGCTAGAAAAAACTAGTTAAAGTTTCATATCCGTATAGCATTACTGTAGTCACCATTCATAAGTTGTACGAACTAAGAAGAAGCAAAGGGGAGATTTTGTATTAATCATCACCAAAAAAAAAACATTTGTAAACCTTAATTTACACTCTTATCCAATTTTTTCAAAGGGTACTTGATTATTTCTAACCAGCCGCATATAATTATTGATTTTGATTTTTTCTTTTTTCTGTTCTGTTTAGCTCTTTGTTGTGTTGTGTTGTGTTGTTTTTTGTCGTTCCTGATAGTGCAGAGTATTTTGTAATTAGTTAGGTGGAGTCTTGTTCTGAAAATCGGATGCTCTGTTTCGACTAAACTTTGAACCATCACTAGGAAATGTTAAACTTCTCTGTCATGACTACTCTACTAGACAAAAATTGTGATTTTTCTCTCGGCAAAAATGATTGTATATGCATCAATAAAATATTTTAAAACCTTGATTTATCAGACTGCTATTTTTTTCAAAAGGTAACGTATCAAACTACTCTGTTTAAATATGTATGGTTTCTCTAACCAGCCGTATACTGTATCTCATATCTTAATAGACTAGTAGCAGCATTATTATAAAGTTACTCGAAGACTAATTAAAGAAATTATAAATTACCCCACTTTGATTTATTAAAACGGTTTAATAGGGTTGGCCAAAAACATTTAATAAATGACATGTTACCCCGTTATAAACAGCCTAAAGAGGAAGCTACACATTTAATAAGAGACGACTCAAGAAAGAAAAGCTTCACGGATCGCAACAATGGCAGACGAAGTGATCCTTCTGAATTTCTGGCCGAGCATGTTCGGAATGAGGACGATGATTGCGTTAGAGGAGAAAGGAGTGAAGTATGAGTATAGAGAAGAGAATGTGATCAATAACAAGAGTCCCTTGCTCCTAGAGATGAATCCGATTCACAAAAAGATCCCGGTACTCATCCACAATGGTAAACCGGTTTGTGAATCCATTATCCAAATCCAATACATAGATGAGGTCTGGTCCGACAAGAACCCATTCCTTCCTACCGATCCTTACCAAAGAGCTCAAGCTTTATTTTGGGCCGATTTCATCGAAAAGAAGGTAACAACAAGTGTCTATAAATTTTAGTCTCCTTTGACTCTAATTTTTTTTTTAGATCCTTATTCATTGTTAAGTTATATGGATTTGCAACTACAAATCAATTTGTAAAAAGTGAATTTTATCTCTCTTATAACGTGGAATCCTTAATGGCATATATTAGACGAAGAAAATATATTAAATTTGCAATTGAAAGATTTCAGATAAAATTCTAGGGTTAATTTGCTTGTAACTCACGTGTGCGTATATTCCTTGTGTCACAATGATCAGTTGTTTGTTTGTGGGAGAAAGACTTGGGCAACCAAAGGTGAGGAGCTTGAAGCAGCCACAAAGGAGTATATTGAAATACTCAAGACACTTCAATGTGAGCTAGGAGATAAACCTTACTTTGGTGGCGATAAATTCGGGTTTGTAGACATTGTCCTGATTGGATACTACAGTTGGTTTCCAGCATACCAGAAGTTTGGTAACTTCAGCATCGAACCCGAGTGCTCAAAACTGATGGCTTGGGGCAAAAGGTGTATGCAAAGAGCGAGTGTGGCTAAGGCTTTGCCTGATTCTGAGAAAGTTGTTGGATACGTTTTACAGCTTAAGAAGTTTTATGGTATCGAGTAAAAGTTGTTGGTTTATTTTGGGCTTTGGCCCGTGATGAATTATAATCCATAAGTAAAAAAACAAAATTAAAAAGAGAGAAGATCTCTTTTAAAATTGCCGTTTTCTGTTCTGTTTAGCTATTTTGTTGTGTTGTGTGTTTCTAATTAATAATGAAATAGAGTCTTGTTCTAAAATTCGGATGCTTTGTTTTGTTAAAAATTCTATGTTTGGTCATCATAGATTTAAAAGTACTCCATTTATTTTGCTTTACTTTGGAAAGAAAAACAAACAAACAAACAAAAAGTTTGTAGAGTCTAAGAGCATCTCCAATGGTTGCACATGCATCATGGGTTCTCTACATTTTATAAGAATAAATTTTAGCTTTTTCAAACTTTAAAACTTGCATAAGAACTCTTAAGTTTTGTGTCCTCCAATGGTTAAAACTACTAATGGGGTTCTCTAAGAAAAAATTCAGATTTTGTAAAACAATACATGGTTTTTTTTTTGGTAAAAACAATACATGGTTTTACAATACATATTCACAAAAAGAAACAACTCTTGGTTGCACATGTTTTCTTTTAATCGTTTATTAATCAAAGAGTACTAGAATGTGAATTAACTATGCTTTGGTTTGGACAAGACAGTGAAACAAGAATGACACTTGCACAAGACCTTTGGTTCTACCTCCTTGATCTCATCTCCTGCTTCGTCCTATTGACCAAAGAGTTATAATCATGTCAATTACAGAACTTAGGGAACAATGATCAAAAAACTTAAGAACACAAACACAGAACAGAAGCACAAGATAGCAAGAAGGAACCTTCCCAGCAAAAAGTTACACAACTAGTACGTAGAAGCTTCAATAAAACATACCTGATAGCAAACTTTGATCTTATCCCCTTTGTGAGCTTGAAGATAACATTTACGAGGCTTGTACTGTAAAATAAGAAAAAATCAAAGCAAGGGTCACGAAACTGCATCAACCAAAAGAGTATAGAAGCCCAATCCATTTCCAATTTCTTCATTTAGAAAACAAATTCAAAACCAAAGTATCCAGCTTGATGCAAATTACAAAAAAAAAACGGTCTAGAATGAATGTTAGTACTAATAAAACTAGACAACGTTATCATGACCATTTTCATCATCTCATCACACAAAATTCAATTTTACTCGGAGAGACTCGTACACTCATAATCAAACATTGAGTAGATAAGATTAAGATCCGATTAGAGAACCACAAAATACAACGAATTAAGTCACGATACACAAGGGAAATGGGCTTGATTCATACCTGCAACAAGAATTTGGAGCTTCCTTCAATGAATCCGGAATCGGAGTCGCAAATCTTCAATTCGGTTTCCCTCCGTTCGCCGATGGTCAGCATCGTCTCTGCAGTTGATGAAGCCTGCGGCATGCAAGTCTCAGATAGTTGAATCCGGCGTCGCGACGATCGGAAATCACGGGTCCGTCAAAAGAACGGCGTCGCGTCGATCGTCTTCGCGCGCGAGAGAGAAACAATCGGATTTGTTTTTTTTTGCCAAAGGAAAAATTAAAAAAAAAAACACGAGACTTTTTTTTTTGTTTTGTTAAAAATGATGCTCCAATCAGAGTGTGCCACGTGTGCGGTTCTCTGAATTGCCCGAAACTCTCAGAAGAGAGACGATTCTCTCATTTAATATCTGTTTTGATTTATTTATTTCCCAAATCAACAAGAGAACCGATCAAAAATATTGAGAGAATCTCCCTTTGGAGATGCTCTAATACTAGTAAGTAGTACCATACACTCTGCCATTTGAATTCACTGACTGGTGTATGTGTGTGTATATTTGGAAAACAAAATAAAATAGAAAATTTTATGTTTTGAGTTAAAAATGGTATGGATTAAGCAAAGAGATTAGTGTCGTGTATTTTTTTATTAACATAAAAACAAGAACAGATAAACATAATGACGTAAGCAGTGGCCTAAGCATTTTCTTTTTTAAACTCTGTTTAATATAAACATATAGAATTCAATAACATTGAGTTGACTTGTTTAACGTTCACAACTTGCTTGCTACGTGCCTTAGCTTCAAAGACTTCAATTAAATTTTCAATTTTATTCAGAGCCAATAATTATATATTACATCAGCAACGCATACAAATTTCTTATGTAACTCGCCTATAGAAAAGGTTTAAGCAAAATCCATCAAAGAAGAGATCCTTCTTCACAATAATGGCGGATAAAGTGATCCTTCTGGATTTCTGGCCGAGTCCATTCGGAGTAAGAGCGAGAATCGCGCTGAGAGAGAAAGGAGTTGAGTTTGAGTATAGAGAAGAGAATCTGAGAGACAAGAGCCCTTTGCTTCTCCAGATGAATCCGGTTTACAAGAAAATTCCGGTTCTCATCCACAATGGAAAACCGGTCTGCGAATCCATGAACGTTGTTCAGTACATCGACGAGGTTTGGTCCGACAAAAACCCTATCCTCCCTTCTGATCCTTACCAGAGAGCACAAGCCAGATTTTGGGTCGATTTCGTGGACACCAAGGTACTAAATCCAAAATCTCTGTTTAGGGTTTTGTTTGTAGACTCGTAATTGAAAATGGTTTTGGGTTTGATCTGTGAATTGGTGCAGTTATACGAGCCAGCGGATAAGATATGGCAAACGAAAGGCGAGGAACAAGAGACAGCGAAGAAAGAGTATATTGAAGCACTTAAGATTCTTGAATCTGAGCTTGGAGACAAACCTTACTTTGGTGGAGATACCTTTGGGTTCGTAGACATTGCCATGACTGGATATTACAGCTGGTTCGAAGCATCAGAGAAATTAGCTAACTTCAGCATCGAACCAGAGTGTCCGACACTGATGGCCTCGGCTAAGCGGTGTTTGCAGAGAGAAAGCGTAGTTAAGTCTCTTCATGATTCTGAGAAGATCCTTGCGTTTGCCTATAAGATTAGGAAGATATACTGTGTCTAAAAGTCTTATTGATTCCATCTCAAGTTTCTATGATCTATATTTTCTTTAAAGTCTGTGAGTATTGTCTTTTTCTTTTCTTTTCACGATTGAATATTTGTTTCTTGTTACACAAGAATATGGTTCCTCTATTTTGAAGAGGTCTACAGTGTTGTACCTAGGCTCATATAGGCCTTAAGCAACAAACTTAAAAAGTGTGATCCTTGTTAAAAAAAACTAAAAATATAGATATATTTCATAATATTGTCTCAAAAATAGTGATAATGAAAAGTTTTCATGGATGAAAATGTTGTCCAATAATTGATAATTTTATTGTGGCTATAGGCAAATGCCTTATTCGAAAGTAGGTCCATCTATTCTTATCTTTTGTAAAAAGTTGATTGAAATGGAGAATTAGATTCGAAACTCTTTCTTTATCTTGGCTCTATAATTACCACTCTCTCTCTTCCTCACTGAGCTTCACCGCCAGCTAAAAATGGCGGAAGAGACTATCCTATTGGATTACTGGGCGAGTATGTTCGGGATGAGGACAAGGATTGCTCTGGCGGAGAAAGGAGTGAAATATGAGTATAGAGAAGAAGATCTGAGTAACAAAGGCCCTTTACTTCTTGAGATGAACCCTATTCACAAAAAGATTCCGGTTTTGATTCATAAAGGTAAACCGATCTGCGAATCGATAATCCAAGTTCAGTATATCGACGAGCTCTGGCCCGACACAAACCCGATTCTTCCTTCGGATCCTTACCAGAGAGCTCAAGCTAGATTTTGGGCAGATTACATTGACAAGAAGGTTACATTTCTCTTTTATGTTATTTAAGTGCTTTGTACTATCATCCCTCAAATGTATAAGTAAGTACGTAACGAATGATGTTTTGGACACAACTGTGATCAGACATACGTACCATGCAAGGCTTTATGGTCAGAAACAGGGGAGAAACAAGAGGCAGCGAAGATGGAGTTCATTGAAGTACTCAAGACACTTGATTCAGAGCTTGGAGACAATCCTTTCTTTGGAGGAAACGAATTTGGACTTGTGGACATTGCCTTTATCGGATTCTATAGTTGGTTCCGTACTTACGAGGAGGTAGCGAATCTCAGCATCGTAGCAAAGTTTCCTAAGCTAATCTCGTGGGCACAGAGGTGCTTGAAGAGAGAGAGTGTGGCTAAGGCCTTGCCTGACTCTGATAAGGTTCTTAAATCTGTCTCTGATCATCGGAAGATAGTTTTAGAAATCGATTAGATTCATGTATAGAAGAATTTCCTCTGTTTTGATTTCCTCTGTTTTTCATGTTTTTATTTTCTGGTTACAAAATGTGGTGTGTATTTCAGGTTTTTCAATAAGTTGGGTATAGACCGATGTATGTTTGTGGTGGGATTTCATTTGAGTGACGCATAAGTTAGATTATGTTGTGGGTGATAATAAATTATCATTTGTATTAGTGTATAAACGGGTGGTTTTGTAATAATACATTAATAATGATATTTCCCTTTTGTTTTTTGCGTCCAATTATATAAAAAGGAAATATTTGACCTTAATTTCCTTTTTGTTTTATTTTTAAACGAAATTTCCTTTTCTTTCTGTCATAACCTTTCATTATAAATATATACTAATCTCTTCTTAAGAATCGAAGTTGTCATTCGTCGAAGAGCAAAACCCTAAAGTGCTCTTTCTTCTTCTTCTTCTTTTCCTTCTTTTATAAAAACTTGAGTTTCTTCTCGAGCAAGTTATGTCGATCGAAGCCGTCATGAATCTCGTTCTCGCAATGGGAATTATTCGTTGGGTTCGTATCTCTTCGGATTTTTCTCCGATCAAGTTTTAGTCGATCATTAGAGAGTGCAAAGAGATGTTTAAAGGTGAATCTGGGATTATAAGTTAGGGATTCAGGGTTACGGTGATGAAGTTGTGGCCGAGATATGAGAGAACACGACGGAAATTCGTCGGAGATTATTAGTGATGATGCCACACAACGGCTATTTTGGATGATGTCATACAAGGGCTATTTTGGAATTTGGTTGAGTATGGAGAACAAAGGACTACGGTGAAGATTCGTGAGATGACTAAGAGAAGACGTCTTCGAGAGGTATCACATAAGGAAAAGAGCCTTGCGTTACATCAATTCCAGTACGATTTCAGGTGATTTTCCTTTCCCTTTTAAAATCAAAATTACGTTTTTAAATTTTCACTTTTTTTTTCTACGGCTTTTCTTTACAAGTTTTTTTTTTTTGGTTTAGTTTGTTTTTTTAGACTAGATTTACAAAACGATTTGAAAAACTAACCGGAGTTTGGATCCCGTCATTTGACCTAGTCATTTGATCGTTAGCGATTTCACAAGTTCAATTTTTTTTCTAATCATTATGTAAATTTAGCATTTTTGTTTTTTTTTTATTTGTTTTTTAGACTAGATTTACAAAACGATATGAAAAACTAACCGGACTTTGGATCCCGTCATTTGACCTAGTCATTTGATCGTTAGCGATTTCACAAGTTCAATTTGTTTTCTAATCGTAATGTAAATTTAGCATTTTTGTTTTTAAGTTGTTTTTTTTTATACTAGATTTACAAAACGATATGAAAAACTAACCGGACTTTGGATCCCGTCATTTGACGTAGTCATTTGATCGTTAGAGATTTCACAAGTTCAATTTGTTTTCTAATCGTAATGTAAATTTAGCATTTTTGTTTTTTAAGTTGTTTTTTTAGACTAGTAATGCAAATTTAGCATTTTTGTTTTTTAAGTTGTTTTTTAGACTAGATTTTCAAAACAATTTGAAAAACTAACCGGACTTTGGATCCCGTCATTTGACCTAGTCATTTGATTGTTAGCGATTTCACAAGTTCAATTTGTTTTCTAATCATTATGTAAATTTAGCATAGTCATTTGATCGTTAGCGATTTCACAAGTTCAATTTGTTTTCTAATCGTAATGTAAATTTAGCATTTTTGTTTTTTAAGTTGTTTTTTAGACTAGTAATGTAAATTTAGCATTTTTGTTTTTTAAGTTGTTTTTTTAGACTAGATTTACAAAACGATATGAAAAACTAACCAGACTTTGGATCCCGTCATTTGACCTAGTCATTTGATTGTTAGCGATTTCACAAGTTCAATTTATTTTTTAATCTTTATGTAAATTTAGCGTTTTTTTTGTTTTTTGTTTGATTTTATACTAGGTTTACAGAACGTTATGAAAACTAACCGGACTTTGGATGCTGGTTATAAAAAAATCAACGATTGGTTTATAGAAAAGGTTGAAGCAAAATCCATCAAAGAAGAGATCCTTCTTCGCAATAATGGCGGGTGAACTGATCCTTCTGGATATTACAGCTGGTGACTGGATATTACAGCTGGTTCGAAGCATCAGAGAAATTAGCTAACTTCAGTCCTTGTTTATTACAGCTGGTTCGAAGCATCAGAGAAATTAGCTAACTTCAGTCCTTGTTTAATAAGGCGTTTAATGGAATTTGTACGAAGGAATGATGTTTTGGAATGATGTTTTGGACAAATCTGTAATCAGGAATGATGTTTTGGACAAATCTGTACGAAGGAATGTATATATAAAAGTACGAAGGAATGATGTTTTGGACAAATCTGTAATCAGGACATACGTACCATGCAAGGCTTTATGGTCAGAAACAGGGGAGAAACAAGAGGCAGCGAAGATGGAGTTCATTGAAGTATTCAAGACACTTGAATCGGAGCTTGGAGACAAATCTTTCTTTGGAGGAAACGAATTTGGACTTGTGGACATTGCCTTTATCGGATCATCGTCATTTCTCTATCATTACAATTTTTCGTTTTGAAACTAAACCAATCAAAAACAAAAAATCAAACCACTCTTCGTTGGATAAAAGGACGACGAAAATTTTATTTGTCGCCAACGTTTTTTTTTTTTTTTTTTTTTTTTTTTTTTTTTTTTTTTTTTTTTTATTATTATTAAAGGGCCTTCCCACAAATATGGGCCAGGTTTTGGACTATTACAAAAACAAACACAGCTACAAAAAGAGAATTGATGATCGGAGACGTCACCGGAAAAGGAGATCGGATCCTGGTGTGACCGGACGCAGAGACCAAAACTTTAGAACCAGTGGATACAAGATCCACGACTTCACGACAGAGACAACGGATCAGAACCATCGACGAAAGTATCCAGTTTTCATCTCCGATTCCTTTCCGATGCACCACCAGATCCGCTACAAACCTCCTGGTAGGCTCAGATCTCCGACGAGGCGGTTCTCCGTTGTTAGATCCTCAACCTAGCAATCTAACAACAGATCTAACACTCCTTCTCCAGATCTGACGAACCTCAAATTCTCTAAGCAAAGATAACTTCAAATCCGGTCCGGTGGAAGCAAAATTGTGGCGATTTCAGAGGCCGATAGCTCAACCTAGCACCCAGAAACCAAAACCCACACTAGGCATCTAAGATCCTTTCGGATCTTCAATTAACTAAACCACCGTAACGATACAACAAAACCCACCAATCCCCCCCCTTGACTTCCGCCGCAACCGCAGCGGCTGAATTGGCGGTTGAGCTGAAAGAAGACTCCGGCGTGAACCCATTGGCGTCCTCAAACCAAGCTCGCACGAACACGGAGCTCCTATTCCGCCAAAAACAGAGCCACAGTTGCATCTAGAGGGAGAAACCACACCGCTGCTGTCGGAGAAGAGATCTTGCTCACCACTGCGTCCCCTTTGCAACTCCAAAACCTACAATGAAAATCCAAACCAAAACGTAAGCAACGAACTCTTTTTTTTTTTCGGCGGCTAGGGCGAATTGGGAGAGAAGATGCCGCTCAAAGGCCTATGTGACACGAGTTGTTATGCTCTTGTCGCCAACGTTAACGTCGTTGAAAGCAAAATTTGAAAATATTTGTCAAACAGAGAGTACAAAAAAAAAAAAAAAAAGAGCAACGCAACAAGAGAGTACGATTACATGGGGACTTGTACTATTATGATTCTTTAATTATACTAATGAACCCCACATTATGTGTTACCTTTATCCAATAACCTTTTCTTTTTTTTTTGGTTCTATAGACTATCCAGGTTGAAAAATAATGCGCAAAAGCATATTTTTCATCGTAGTAGGCCAAACACAAAACGTTCAATTTCTCTATTGTAGCATGCAAGATTAATTTACAATCCATTAGCAGGACAAAAGGATTAACCAATACCAGGAGGAAAAAATTTGAAAATCAAATGGTTAGTAGATTTTTTTAAATACGAATCTAATGGATAGTAGAAAATTACGATGTATGGATCAAAGATTCCAAATTTATACATGAAATATCATAAACATATATAAGACTTTTGCCGTCAGTTGTTAGGTAAAAATGAAACAACCAAAACTTTATCTTTTGTTAAAATCCATAAATTCTACAAAATCTGACAAGTTTATTCCAAAGTAAGATGTAACCAAATATTTTAAATAAAAATGATCAACGGGATTGATCGAGTCAAATAATTTCCTTTGAATCGTGTGATCTTTTTTTTTTTGATAACCCAGTATCCAGACCACACAGTGATCTGACTAGCCCACTGGGCCTAAGCCCGCGTCACAGGGATTTTTAAGCCGCCATTTAAGGGCCCCCTGATAAACTGGTGGTCTGGGGCGCCTGAGCAAGTCCGCAGGTAAATTCCCAGGTGGCCACAGGAGTGAGAGAGCGAAACTGCGTCTGGGGAGGATCGATCCCTGGCCTAGACCAACAGGGCGATCCTTCCAACCAAACGAGAACCACTCGCCCACCACCATGTGGTTGAATCGTGTGATCTTGTTCATATAGTTTGCTTTAAAAAGTTTTGCTTCATGGAATCTGATATATATATCGTTCTTTTTTACCTTTGAATCTTGTAAAACTCATGGAATCATACATATTGAAAAAAAAAAATTGTAAGAGAGTGAATATGCATGGAGTTGTATCAAATCCTCGGAAATATAACAACTCCGCATAGTAATTACTCGAATAGGTTTTGGTCACAGAAAACTTAGAAAAATTTACTGTTACGAAATAACGTTCCCAATTAAAATACATTAAAACCAATTTATTGGAATGATACGTTTCAGTGTAAGCTAACTCAAAGGCTTTACCAATGCAAGAATATTTCAAACATTATTCCATTATTTTATTGTAACAAAAAAGAATATTTCAAACATTCCTATTCTCAAAAATTTGACATTTGGCCAACCATCTCCATATCATGCTAATCACATATAGAGACCAAATTCATCTGGATTACTACATGATTAATCACTTTTACTAATCAGACATTAACAGTGTAACTAATATTTTTGAGAAAGAAAAAAATAGTTGAAAGTCACGTGATAGCTGTCTCTCTCCTGCTAATCTCACAGCCGTTGGATAAGTCGTTTGCTGACTTGGATCGGAGATTTCGGTGGAGTGCGAAGTATGTGATAACTACCCATTAGATTAAAAGGCTGTACGAATGTCGTTTTCGGTAATACTTTTGGGGCTTTTGACCAAAATGGGCGTTGAATAACCCGACCCGTTAACCCAGTGTATTTGTTTTATTTATATATTATTTCATTTTTGGGCTTATTATTTGTATTTTGTATAGCATAGACAAATCTTTTTTTCGGGAAATAAAAGAATTACAGATTTTGTCTTTTTTGTGTGGTAATTTTTTTCCCAGGAATAATCGAAATTTGCAGATTTTTGTAATGAAAAATTGTGTGGTAAAATTGATTTATCATTTTGGTTTGAATTTACATTTTTGATTACTCTGACAAAAAGTTATATGAACAAAACAGTTTGTGAACCATGATTATTTTAGCGAACTGTTTATCAATTTTTTTTATCATCATTCCCATAGATGAAATACATTTTTTTTAATAATTATGGAAAATGAACACTAGTCAGAATCTCTGCATCCTCTCAACACTTCATTTTTTCCCCATTTGCTTTAGTTAAAAACGAAAATAAAGAAACAAAACTTCAAAAGAAGAGATGATATTTTCCATGTATAGCCTTTCTTTTGGATATGGATGATGTTTTCCATGTATATACAACTACAAGTATAGCATAAATTACAACTCACAACATCTAATTTTTTTCTTAATAAACAGTTACCACCGAACTAAATGCAGTAAACAATATAAGGGATTATACAATTACAAATTGGTCAGGAATAGAGAATATTAAAAGGTACATGTTCATACATATAAACACGCATTAAATATTAATTAATCAGAGCATTATATGGAGAGAATCCATAGATTACATACAGACAAATTATTTCCTTTTCATCTTATTCTAGAAAAATCCAATTAAAGCTACTTATTTTAGTCGTATAGCCTATAGTTTATATTAAAAACATTTATTTTATTTATAAAAGAAAGAGAAAAAAAAAAGCCATTTTCATCAGCTTCGTCTTCTCCATTATCTCTCTACCAAATCTGGCAGAGATAAACAAAACAAAAAAAACGAAGAAGAAGAAAAACTTCGATTTAAGAAGATAACAGCGACAAGGAGACTCAATATGGATAAGAGCTGTAACTCCTCCGGCGATTCCTCCGCCGTATCCGCCTCTGCAACGAGTAGTACCGGTAACAATACAACGAACAGAGATCATTACCTGCGACAGCTCAATAAGCTTTCTCATAAAATATCAAAACCGACAAACTCCTCCTCCTCCGTCTCCGCCGTGAATCGTGAAATTGATCTTCCTCCTCCACCGCCGCCGTTAATTAATCAAGGGAATCTCCATCAACATCAACCTCCTGTTTACAATATCAACAAGAACGATTTCAGAGATGTTGTTCAGAAACTTACCGGTTCACCTGCACATGAACGGATCTCTGCTCCGCCGCAACAACCGATTCATCACCCTAAGCCTCAACAGAGTTCGCGTCTACATAGGATTCGTCCTCCTCCGTTGGCTCATGTTATCAATCGTCCTCCTGGTTTGCTAAATGACGCACTTATCCCTCAAGGTTCTCATCACATGAATCAAAACTGGACCGGCGTTGGATTTAACCTTCGACCAACGGCGCCGCTTTCTCCTCTCCCGCCGCTTCCGCCAGTTCACGCGGCGGCGGAATCTCCGGTCTCTTCGTACATGCGGTATCTTCAGAACTCGATGTTCCCAATCGATTCGAATCGGAAAGAGTTCTCTGGTTTATCTCCGTTAGCTCCTTTGGTGTCACCTCGCTGGTACCAACAACAACAACAGGAAAACGCTCCGCCTTCGCAGCAAAACAGTCTCCCACCAGCACATCCTCCTTCCACCGCTGTTTCGCAGACGGCGCCGACATCGATTCCGGGCCCTCCACCGTTTGGATGTTTGAATTCGCCTAAATCTCCGTACGGATTACTCTCACCGAGCATACTTCTATCGCCAGCGTCCGGTCAGTTAGGGTTCCCGGTATCTCCGACGACGGTGCCGCTTCCTAGCCCTAAATACAAAGGTCATTGATCAGAAAATCGGAAACCCTGTTGTCGGTCAAAGTGAACAACGTCGTCGTTTTGACCGTCACGACAAAATTCCCTTTGTTCTTTTTGTACATCATTAGTGGAGTGGTGGGATCATTTGTTTTTTTTTTGTTAATTAACTCAAAAATTACTTAAATCCGTTTTTTTTTTTTTACTTTCTTTTGTTCCATGTTTGTTCATGTTAGAAACAAAGACTAGGAAAAAGAAAGGAATACACTTTTGCAACTCTATTGAATTCTCTTACAAGTTTGCCATTATAATTTGTTGAATCATTATCTCTTTGAAGATTAAATTGCATAAGACAGTTTTTTCTTCATTGTCCGTCTATGTGATGGGATATTAAATTTTTGATTGGTTGATTAGCTATATACCAATCACTTCACTGTTCCTTTGGTTGAAATTTATGCTCCGATGCTTTCATTTTCAGTTGAAACTTCAAACTCTGACGAGATCATTAATTTAAACCTGTCAAAGTGTAATGACTAACGAGTGCCTATACTTAAATACTAGTTCTTTTGAAAGGTATTTTTATATAATCAAATTGATGATTGATTTCAGACCCCTTGACAGGTAAAGTAAAATTCGCTTTACGCAGTCCAATAAACTAGCTCGCTTTTAAAATTGACAAGAAACAATCTACGCAACAAGATAAGAGACAAGAGACTTTATGATCTTCAAATTGATGAGAAAACAAAGCAAGGTTCGATTGCATAGACATTGAAATCGATAACAAAAAAAAAAAAAGAGAAAGAAAATCATGCAAAAAAAAGAGATAAAAGATGGTTCGGACTTGCCACAAATATGATGAATGAATAAGCTTGAAGATAAGCGAAATGGCAAGAGCGACCTCTTAGATGATTAAGAAAACATATGGACGAAAGAGAAGAAATTCCAAAGCCTAGAAAACTAGCAGTTTCACTCAAAAGATCACTGCTGTTCCTCGGTCGGTTTTGGCGCTGCTGCTTCCTTGATCTCATCCGCAGCATCATCCTAATACGATCCACCATCAGAGAATTTAGTTGATAAAATGCAAATAGAAACAAAAAACAAAGATGAGGATTATATGAACTGACCTGCATATCGGATGTCCAGAGAGTGAGGTTGTCACGAAGAAGCTGCATGATCAAGGTACTGTCTTTGTATGACTCTTCACCAAGAGTATCCAACTCTGCAATCGCTTCATCAAAGGCCTTGACGACAATACATTACAACAACGAAACCAGTCAAATTCATGTCCATGAGATAATCAAATGAGGTCAAGTGTTAAACCAAGTCCAATCACATTGTGATACTTGAAAGATGAGTGGATTCAAATACCTGTTTGGCGAGATTGCAAGCACGATCAGGAGAATTGAGGATCTCGTAGTAGAACACAGAGAAGTTCAATGCAAGACCAAGACGAATTGGGTGAGTAGGAGCAAGATCTGCATTAGCGATATCCTGCATACATAGTCACATATAAAGACTGTAAGATCAAAACCTAGACAATCTCAAGATCTTATTCAAGACTATACAAATCCCTAATCTAATCCGAAATCACTCTAATGAATCACCATCCACGGATCACAAACAAGATTCAAATAAACTAGATCTGAGATTCAAACCTGAGCAGATTTGTAGGCGGAGAGAGTGTGTTCGGCGGCGTCTTTCCTCTCTTGACCAGTCTTGAACTCAGCCAAGTACCTGTGATAATCTCCCTTCATCTTCAGGTAAAAGACCTTGGAATCACCAGAAGCAGCGGCAGGGATGAGTCTAGAGTCAAGCAACTTGAGGATTCCGTCGCAGATTCCGGACAGTTCCGTCTCGATCTTAGACCTGTAATCACGGATCGCCGTCACGTGGTCATCGTTACCACGACTCTCTTCTTTCTGCTCGATCGATGAGATGATACGCCACGAGGCACGGCGAGCACCAATCACGTTCTTATAAGCGACGGAGAGAAGATTTCGCTCTTCAACGGTGAGTTCATCGCCATCGACGGCGGCGGAGACTTTCTCCATAAACTCTACCATCTCTTCGTACCTCTCCGCTTGCTCCGCTAGCTTAGCCATGTAAACGAACTCTTCACGAGCAGAAACCGCCATTGTTGTTCCTAGAGAGAATCGATCTAAGGAAGAATCAAAGAGAAAAGATCTGAGATCTGATGAAAAAGAGAGAAAACGGTTTTGGATTTGAGAATCAGGTCAAGCGAGAGAGGACGACGAATGAATGAATTTTGAGTTTTAATGAGGGGAAAGTGATAAATGCGTTTTAGAGGAAAGGAGTGAAATTTGGAACCAAGATTTAATCTGGGCCGTTGGATTTGGCTCTTCTATTGTGTGGCCGGTCCTGCTTTTTAAGGGGAATTTTTGAAGCCCTGTTTTTTTTTTTTCACCTCAAATAAAGAAAAACATAAAAACACTTTTAGAGAAAATGGAAATTTTGGGTAAATAAACAAATAAATGGTTAATGTGATTTTACTACTATTAGTATAGGCACCCTAAGGAAATAAAATATTTTGGGTCTAATGGTTAAAATAAAAGCTAATTTTGTAAATATAATTATTTACCAATTGTAAAAAGAAAATTGAGTAATGAGATTGATACAATAATGGAAGCAAGTTGGGTTAACAAAAATGGAGACAGCTCAGAGGGACACATGTGTTGTGAGCATGTCAGGGGATCCTATGGACTCTTTCTTCTCCAACTCATCTTTCACATTTTTGTGACTTCTCTAACGTTTTTTTTTTCTTTCAAAATTTTTTAAAACTTCGGTTATGTGATTAATTTGTCTATTCTTTAAATCTTGAAACATTCAATTAATAGTACGTATGCGATTCTGACGAGATTTTTTAAATCATTTTGTTCTTAATTATGTAGGTTGTATTCGTACTGCAATCTTATATTTATTATAATCGATTAAAGTCAATCGTAATTGGGTACCTCTTCGAAATTGAAATTAGTTTAGTGGTTAATGCTTTTTTTTGAGATTATTAAAAAGAACAAGATTTGTTTTTCCTTTACAGTTTTGCTTATTATATTCATCCGATCCTTATCCTTATCCTTAATCCATGATTATGTTTTTTCTTATCTTACTTCTTCCTTAATTTGTTTTGTTTCCATATGTTTTCTTGATGATTATTTTTTACATTCAATGAAATAATAAGATTACTCTCTAGACTCTAGTTCTCTAGCATAAATATTAACTATACAAGAACATGTATTCATTCAATGTATACTCATGATATAGATAAAGATCATACGTTAAAAAAACCGTCATATTCAAAAAGGTTAAAGTTTGGCTATGCTCGAAATGAGATTTGTGGTTTATCTTAGCTATACAATACGCAAGTAGATCAAAAGTTTTCGATAAGTATTGGGATAACTCCTAACTACATTTAGATAATGTTGTATATACCCTAATCCTTATCTAATTAGCTTTCTTATCTCTCTATCTACGTACGATTCTCTACTTCTATAAATACCAATCTTCATGAATGTTAATTCACAAGATTTCAAGAAGAGAGTTAGATCGGTGAACGATGATGTGTTCCGACGGACGAAAGTATGAATCGATGCTAAACGTAGAGTTTGAACCATATCGAAGTGTTCATTCCCTATTGCCACCCCCCTTCATTTTCAGACATACCTAGCAGAGAAATGGACGATTGACTATTGTGTGTTTCCGACGGATGGGACGTGACAATAATAACTTAATACGATGACACTTATATAATGCTTGTTGGTGCTTGGCCAATCCTTTGTTAAGGTGTCTCGCATGCTCAAGTCAAGTAAAATGAGAGGTTTGGAAGCCCGACAACTGAGCATATGTGGGATAGTATCTACGAGGCTCCCCTGCCAATAATTTTAATTATCTTCTGTTCTTTTTAATTCTTAATAAACTTTCGTCTTGATTGAATCATGTGATCCATGAGTCTTATCTTATAAACTATATGATTCATGCATATTGATAACTTACGGTGTAAGTTATGATAATAACAACAAAAACATTATCTATTTATTTGTCGTCGACAACAAAAGATCTTACGATATTATTATGGGACCTATTATTATTATAAGTTTCACACAATTAAACTTTAGGATATTTTTTTACTTTTTTTTCGTTAAAGTCTTTAGGATAATCTCTTAATACATAAAACACTTCTCAAATACCAACGATCAAGTACTTTAAACTCTTCCAACAAAACAATCATTAGTTAATCTTTTATAGAAGCCAATCAAATCTCACTAAAGAATAGAACCACATGGACTTTGTTACTTGTTAAAATTTCGTGTATTTATTTCGTTTAGTAAAGTTGATCATATTTTTTCCCTAAACAGTGTAAAAGATAACTCACTGCAGTTTTTTTTCTAAACGCACATTAGACAATAATGAAACATATATATTAACAAGGATAACAGGATTCTCTAATGAAAATTTTTTCCTTTGTCACTAAGGTTCCGAATTTTTTAAATTTATCATAAGCATTAAACACAATTTATACGAGGTCGACATGAACCACATATGTAGTAGAAACCCCACGACACGACATTCGTTAAATGTCTCTCATAATTTTCCCCTTTATTTATAATTGTTTTGTAGTAATAACTTTTTGATGTAATATGTTTTAAAAATCCCACCACATATCAAATTGACAAATTCTGCATCGATAGTTCCTCTCACAAACACAAACAGAGTCAAAAGCAGTGACTCTGTTCCAAAAGCAAAGCAGCTTCCCAAGAAGATCAAATCCGAAAATGTGCGATCGATCTTAATCCTTTTGTTTTATTATTATTACATCACTTCCTAAATTTCCGGTAAAATCTTTATTTCTCGTATACCTCCAAAAAAAGTTGGTTCCTTTATATTGACGTTATCTCTCAAATTTCTCTCTTCAATTAATTTAATTGGTTCTTCTGTCTTATGAACGAGAACAGAGGAGCTCTGTCTCGTTTCCTCTTATTTATTAACAATTCTCATACACACATACACAAACACACATGTGTGTTTGATTTCATCTTTGTTTTTGTGTCTGAAAAGTGATAATCTGTTTTATTTAATTGACTTTTGAGGGAACAGAGCATATATATATATATATATAGAAACAGAGCAGCTCTGTTTTGTGTTGCAGTTTGTAGAAGTATGGAGAGGTATGAGATAGTGAAGGATATTGGGTCTGGTAACTTTGGAGTAGCAAAACTTGTTCGTGACAAATTTTCCAAAGAGCTTTTCGCTGTTAAGTTCATCGAGAGAGGCCAAAAGGTCTTGTAACTCTCTTGAGCTTATTCAAGAAAATCTTGTTTCCTTTATTTTTGTCTGATTTTGTTTATTTGTTGATGTTTATTAAAGATTGATGAACATGTACAAAGAGAAATCATGAATCACAGGTCACTCATCCATCCCAATATAATAAGATTCAAGGAGGTATATACAACAATGTGTTATTTTTTGGGGTTAATTTATTTTATTTTCTTCTGAAAGTTCCATAAATTTGACAATTGTGTGAAAATATAGGTTTTGTTGACGGCAACACATTTGGCTTTAGTAATGGAATACGCCGCCGGAGGAGAACTGTTCGGAAGAATCTGCAGCGCCGGAAGATTCAGTGAAGACGAGGTTTATTTTATTCATTCTGTCATTGTTATCTAAAATAAACATTGTTTTTAAAAAGTTAAAAATCTAAAGAAATTGTGATTTTTCAGGCAAGGTTTTTCTTTCAGCAGCTTATATCAGGAGTTAATTACTGTCACAGTCTTGTAAGAAACATTCCAACTAAAGCAAAAACGTGTTTTCACATTTTCCTTTTCTTGTAAACAAAAGAATTAAGAGTGTTTGTTTTTTTGTATGGGAAAATGAAGCAAATATGCCATAGAGATCTAAAGCTAGAGAACACTTTATTGGATGGAAGTGCAGCGCCGCGCGTAAAGATATGCGACTTCGGATATTCAAAATCAGGAGTTCTTCATTCACAACCAAAGACAACAGTAGGAACACCTGCTTACATTGCGCCTGAAGTGCTCTCCAAGAAAGAGTATGACGGCAAAATCGCTGATGTTTGGTCTTGTGGAGTCACTTTGTATGTTATGCTTGTTGGTGCTTATCCCTTTGAAGATCCTTCTGATCCTAAAGATTTTCGAAAAACGATTGGTCGGATTCTCAAAGCTCAGTATTCTATTCCTGATTATGTCCGAGTTTCGGATGAATGCAGACATCTTCTCTCTCGGATATTCAGTGCCAACCCTGAAAAGGTAAACAATGTTCTCTTCCAATTTCTTGTCATTTAAAACGTTCACAGTGATTTCGATTCTATTTTTATTGTAACATTTGGATGGCAGAGAATAACAATAGAGGAGATAAAGAATCATTCTTGGTTTCTCAAGAATTTGCCAGTAGAGATGTCTGAAGGATCATTGATGATGAATGGTCCATCTACTCAGACAGTGGAAGAGATAGTGTGGATCATTGAGGAAGCTCGGAAACCGATCACCATAGCTACTGGACTCTCCGGTGCTGGTGGCTCGGGCGGAAGCAGTAATGGTGCCATTGGAAGTAGCAGTATGGATCTCGATGACTTGGACACCGATTTCGACGACATCGATACAGCTGATCTCCTTTCCCCTTTGTGAACAAATTTTATGACATAAACAAAAACCAAAGAATTCATGTTTCTGAAGCTGATACACAGAGGTGAATATAATTGTCATCTTAAGAGTTTTGTTTTATTTAAGTGTTGTCTATTAGACATTTTCATTCATGCATGATACGTATATAAACAGAAACATATTTAGTATAAATCATGTAGTATAAATTAAGTTTCTCTGTCAGGGTAAAACAAAAACATATTTTCTGCAATGTGCCAGATACAACAACACAAATTAAGAAGATTGTTTTAGTTAATGGAGATTAGTAGGTGTTAAGTAGACTCCAAACAGTTTGCTCAACTTGTTCCCATGATTCAGCTGTCCGAAGTTCGTCCCAAATACTGAACATTGCACCCAAAACATTCTCTTCATGTAATATACAGTAACACCTGAAACCAATCACAGTTACAATACAACAATTAAAAAAAAAGGCTTCAAGGTCTTTCTTAATCATGTTTGTGAAAGTCTTACTACTTACATTGTACGGTAGGAAGGACACAATACTTTCTTCCTCGTGCTGTCTGTTGTTTTTGTTGTTCCGTTCTCCGGGGATCTACTTCTGATCAATGGAAGCCCGTAACTTTCTAGAAGCTTCTTGAAAAGATCAGCGTCTCCTCTAAAGACGTCCAAGTATATTGGTATCAAGTCGCAGATGGGATCTCCTGCAATTTCCTCACTCTTTCAGAAAACTCTCCAAAACTTTGGCATTTAGATTATGAATTCGGGAGAGAGCTTTTAAATGAAACGTACCTATGGATAAATCACTGAAGTCAAGAATATGACTGGGACGCCATGAATTGTGTTGACCATCAACTGAATCATCTGAGTATGGTTCCATGTGAATGTTGTCATCCATGACGTCTGAGTGTATCCAGGTGCAGGGTTTGATTTCGTCTCCACCATTGTGTCCTGTGATCCCAGAAACAGGTTATGTTAATTCGACCGCAAAGAGGTATAGGTTCCTGAAATAGAGAGGTAAGTATAGCAACCTTGAAAACGTTGAGTAAATCTACAAAAAAGTCATCGGGAATATATTCGTCTATTTTGGTCATCAGAGCCCGAGGTATAGGATTTCCCCTGAGAGGTTCAAACAAAAGAATCACTGTGAGTAAGCTTTTATCAAGAGCAAAGCAAATGGAAACATGGACTATATTTCGGAAAACTTCAAGCTTACCAGTTTTCCAGACGACTAGTGACGTCCTTCTTCTTTTGGCGAAGAGCATCGACAAAAACTTTCCATTCTGCTGGAATGTTCAATTCCTCATGAACAGCATTCACATTCAACAACTCCGAACGTGTGACCAGTGGATATGGAAGTAGATGAAGGTTGCGTAGTTGTTTTCCGAGAAAGGTAGCCAAGTTCTGAGCGTCGTTCCACGTTAGATCATCTCTTCTGCAACAACAACAGTTTCAAATAAGAGATCATACATTTGGTTTTAAAGATGAGTCTTGCGTAGAGAAAAAAGGAGGAGGAAAAGAACACTCACAGTTGGGCAAAAATCTTCCCTTTGCATCTTTTGGTTATAATATACGGCCAAACATGTGAACTCAATGAACCAAAAGAATCGGGTGCTGGCTTCCCCTGGTTTCTATGTTCACGTAGCGTTTTGTTCCAAATACCAAATGGGAATTCGCTGTTCAACATGGATGCATCAAAATCGAAATTGGAGCTAGAGATAATGTCTGGGATTCTCTTGCCATCCCAGGGGACAACTTTGTAAGATCCTTTTTCGAAGAAAAGAATCCCGCTTTCTAGAACTTCAGGAATATGTGTTTTCAAAGGAGAATCAGCCCGGCCAAGAATGTCATAAAACTCAAGCTGCACAAAAGAAGACATAGAGTTACAATCATAAAAATTACACATGGGATGCCAAAGTATTGTATAAAGATTACTTGCCTCAGTTCCAAGACCGTACATAGATTGTTCTAGCCCTCCTTCAACAAACAGTTTGATCGCATAGTCCGACAACAGATAAACCTATAAAAAAAAATAAGAGAAGTCAGGACATATCGGTGAAATAATTAGGAATAGTGAAGAACTTTTCTGCCAAAGATTCCTAAAAGAGAATAAACTCACAGGGTTGCTGCCAGTTCCAACTGGAAGCTTTTCATCTTCGGTAACGAACGGCAAGTTGTGGAAAGTACATACTTCCTCTAGGCATCGCAACCATTTCTCAGCATTTAAAGCAATGCATGCACCCTAACACGGAAACCAAAGAGAAAGCACTAAGAATTGATAATGGAGAGATGCTTATAATGCATTAAACCAAAACATCAAAGAGTAGGCATTACCTTCCATATTAGTTCTCTCATCTCAGGCTTCAAAGCCCAAAGCTTGGATAGCCAGGCTCTCATTTCTCGTTGACCTACAGAGTTCCCCATTGACCATGGGAAATTATAATGGTCTCTTTCTTTATCAAGAAATGAAGCCAGGAAATCAATGTTATACGAGAATCCATTCTTCCACATATTGTATCTCTTTGATACTCCATTAGCATCCTCTTCTTGGTTTTCAGTCTCTCCCCCTCCATTCATCCGTATCCTCTTCTCTTTCCTGGTAAGGTCTGAGTAGCTTAAAGTATTGTCGTCCTCATCATGTGTTTCATTTTCCAAATCTTCAGAATTTTCATCATCAAGAGCAAGAAGCCCAGCACGGCAAACCCCTTTGTGATGGTAACCAGGCGCCATATCCAAACACACGAACCCAAAATTTTCTTTGTTCACAAAATTCTGGGTAACAGCTACTGTTGGTTCAAGATTAAGGATACAGTGCCACCAACCACTTGGAACATAAATCGTTTCACCAGCTAGCAGTGTGCACTCAATTGGTTTGTCTTCGTCCGCAAGGAGGGGATAATAGTCTAGCCACCACTGTCCATGGATCGAAAACATTCAACAGGATACAGTAAAGATGAACTGAGCTGCTGATGCTTAAACAGTTCAGAAATATACCTGCAGAGATGAGGGGGTGTCGATGCTGACATCACCGTCATCTTCATTTACATGAACTGTAACACCTAGAGGCACTTTTCCAGGGGGATACAATGCCCACCTAAAACATAATGGCATCATCCTCAGAATATAGTATCACCAATTCTAGTGAAGCAATGCAGAGAACAAGAACTTGGAGCAGGAAAAAGGAAGAGGCATAAATGTAGTACAAATGTCCAACATATTGAGATCAAGGAGTGTAGAAACTACCGAGTTTGATCAGAGTCCCTTACCAACTCAATTTTATGAGATCTGATAGCTAAAACGGCAACTACCCCTATGAGTTAAAATTATGATCACTAACAAAATGAAATGTTTGATTTAAGGTCATACAGCAGGCTTGGAATGCCAGTAATCAGTTCTATATTGTTGTCCTAACTTGTATGTGAAGGACAAATATATCAGTTTCAAAACAAGTCTCATAACAATTCGTAAGTCAAATACTTAGTTCAAGCACAAAAAGACGTCTACCTTTTCCGACCGCAAAGCAGGGTGTTCCAGGCGCTGGTAAGTGCTGGATCGACATGCCAAGATGCACCAGACCTCTCCGGACCAACTATAAGCCATCTGTATGGAGGACGACTTTCCTTGTCTAAGATCTCAAACCAATCTTCTTGAAACAAATGGGGCACACTATAGTCTTTCAATAATTCTGGAGCAGCTTCTCCAAACTACATGAAATGTGAATCCTTCAAATATTCTCACTACAACGTTTCGGTTCTGCTGCAACTCTATCACTGATGTGAATGAAGTCTAATGTAAATAAAAAAAATTGTTTCTCGTACCTTGTCATCGAAAACGTATAGAGGATCTTCATCCCGCTGAGTTTTCATATATGAGATGTAATCCTTGAACTTCATGGAAATTTTGTTGGGACTCCTCTGAGATATTCTAAAAGGGACTTCACCATATTTCTCTGAGAGTTGGTCGATTGTCCACGTATTACTGGCTGGCCAAGAATCAGCAAGGCCAGAAAGCAAAACCTAAACCATAGACAGGAACAACGTCACAAAAAATCACATGTCTGAAAAAGTGTAACAGATCAAAATAAACCTTGCATATATATACATGAATGAAAAGATTGGAACTTACAGGTTTCTTGGCGTCATATTCCTTGGAAAACTCATCCAAGGAGATATCTCTCCTACGTTCCACATTCCCATTATCAAAAGAGAACCCGTCAAGAGATGTATTACACCTATAGAATCGTTTATACAAGTACAGAGACATGAATCCTGCACAAAAGCAGAGTAAGTGAGCAAAAAAAGAGAGAACCAAAATGATCATATCATAAGAGTATGGAATAAACCAAGAAGTCATATGATCATCGAGTAAACTAAGAGTATGGAAACAACGAGTAAACTTTGCATTTACCATCAAAATGAAAAGGTTTTCTATATGCGTCATTTTCTTGAGCAACTCCTTCTCTGTATATCGGAAAACCAATCAGTCATATATCTGAAGACAAATCGTATGCATCATTGAACATAAAACGAGAGGTAATTTCAAAGTACTTACAGATGCAATGTGGTTTTTTTCCAAGAACCTTTGTATTCAAGAGGACCTTTTGCTCTTCTGAGACACAAGCTCATCCATAATGGTTCTTCATTACAGAGAATATACATGACACTGTACATCAAACATATAAATAACAGATTAATCACAAACATTGCCTCAACAAATCCTAATCTGTTCATAATAACGATCAAAATCCTGACTTCCTAAGAATTCGAATTGATCTAATTAGACTCTAATTTTGATCAATTCTTTGATTTTAATTCGATCAATAAGTCAAGAGTATTTAGATTACCTGCTGACACAAGCGAGGTTAGCAATATCTCGGGGAGCAAGGTATTCGAGAAGAACACAGATGGTCTCATCTGGTAGAACACTGAGACTACCAAGAGCCTCTGGTCGGCGATCTCTTTGTCCTAACGTCGTCATTGGCTACAAGCTTCTACGGAATTTCGAATTCTCTCTGGGATCTGATTGCTTTTTTCTTCTTCCTGGAATTTTGAAACACTCAGCTTTTTCTCCACGCGGTGGCGCGTGATGATCCGAGTCTCGTGTGGTCACCGAGTGCGCGTAAATGCCTTGGCGCACGTTGTACGCGTTAACGATATCGAATTAAGTTACGGCGTCGTTTTTAATTATCGAATCTGATAAGAAGGGAACATCGCGTTTAGATAACGCAGATCGTTTATAAAGTGATAAAACGCGGAAACGCAAAACTCGGGAACCTTAAAAAATAAACGACGACGTTTCGCAGACACAGATGCAGAGAACTAAAAACGACGCGTAGTCTTTCAGTTATGGGCCTTATGGGCTGCTATTAGAATCAAAAACTAGACAAGTATCAAGCCTCATCCAAAACTATACCAATAGGTTTCAAAGTTTCACTCTCTTCTTCTATCAATCACGGGACGATACACCGGACGTTGCAGAATCCATCATCATTATCGTCAAAAGAATGGAACAACATGGCGGTTCTAGCTCACAAAAACGTCACGCAGTGTGCATACCTTATCCAGCACAAGGCCACATCAACCCAATGTTGAAACTAGCCAAGCTCCTCCACGCCAGAGGCTTCCACGTCACTTTCGTCAACACCGACTACAACCACCGCCGTATCCTCCGATCACGTGGCCCTCACGCTCTCGACGGTCTCCACTCGTTTCGCTTCGAAACTATCCCCGATGGTCTTCCTTGGACCGACGTCGACTCTAAGCAAGATATGCTCAAGCTTATAGACTCCACTATTAACAACTGTTTAGCTCCACTTAAAGAACTCATCCTCCGGTTAAACTCCGGTTCTGATATACCACCGGTTAGTTGTATCGTCTCCGACGCTTCAATGAGCTTCACAATTGACGCGGCGGAGGAACTTAAGATTCCAGTGGTTCTCCTCTGGACAAACAGTGCTACTGCTTTAATCTTGTATCTCCATTATCAAAAACTCATCGAGAAAGAGATAATTCCTCTCAAAGGTATGTATGTATGAATCGATCATTCGATTGAATCATCATCTGAAAAATTCTCAGTAACAATTTCGAATTTCCACCAGATTCGAGTGACTTGAAGAAGCATTTAGAGACGGAGATTGATTGGATACCGTCGATGAAGAAGATTAAGCTTAAGGATTTTCCAGATTTCGTCACCACGACGGATCCTCAAGATCCGATGATTAGTTTCATCCTCCATGTAACCGGAAGAATCAAACGAGCTTCTGCGATTTTCATCAACACTTTCGATAACCTCGAGCATAACGTTCTCTTATCTCTGCGATCTCTTCTTCCTCAGATCTACTCCGTTGGACCGCTCCAGATGCTAGAGCACCGTGAAATCGATAAGAACAGCGAAATCGGAAGATTGGGATCGAATCTATGGGAAGAAGAGACGGAATCTTTGGATTGGCTTGACACGAAGGCTGAGAAAACTGTTCTTTACGTTAACTTTGGGAGTCTAACGGTTTTGACGAGAGATCAGATCTTAGAGTTTGCTTGGGGTTTAGCGAGGAGCGGGAAAGAGTTTCTTTGGGTGGTGAGATCTGGTATGGTCGACGGAGATGATTCGATTCTTCCGGCGGAGTTTTTATCGGAGACGGAGAATCGAGGATTGTTGATCAGAGGATGGTGTTCTCAGGAGAAGGTACTTTCGCATCCGGCGATTGGAGGATTTCTGACACACTGTGGATGGAATTCGACGTTGGAGAGTTTGTTCGCCGGTGTTCCGATGATCTGTTGGCCGTTCTTCGCCGATCAGTTGACGAATCGAAAGTTCTGCTGCGATGATTGGGGGATTGGGATTGAGATTGGCGAGGAGGTAAAGAGGGAGAGAGTGGAGGCGGTGGTCAAAGATCTCATGGACGGAGAGAAGGGAATGAGATTAAGAGAGAAGGTGGTGGAGTGGCGGTGCACGGCGGAAGAAGCTTCGGCGCCACCGTTGGGATCATCGTACGTGAATTTTGAAACGGTGGTTAACAAAGTTCTAACAGGTCACGATTAGATCGACTTAATTGGGCTTTACGTATCGAAAGGCCCACTAGAATTGTTCCCAATATCATTTGGGCTGGCTTTAATCACAATTGTAAAAGTATTTGCAAGTTGCAATTATCTATACAGTAGATCAGTAGTGTCTTCTCACTTTGGATCATATAATTATATGTGTATATCCATATTGAAACTCCCAAGAAAATAAGAGGATATAAAGGATCATATAGCATAAAGTTGAAATTATAAGAAATAAAATAAATGAGTAAACAAAGACTATGAAAAACTCAAATTTTTATATATATTTCGTCAGAAAAAGAGCAAAATATGACAAGAGATTTCTCTTGAGCCGTCTTTTAGGTTTGACAGTCTTGAGTCTGTATTCTTGGGGCTCAAGTCATTACTCTTGTTGAGAAATAAATGAATTAGCTGGGTTTTTTTTCAGAGAGAGAGAGAGAGGTAAAAATGTGAAGATTGTACAAATTGGGAGATGAAAGAAAGATCAGGAAGAAATAGGTTCTTTGGTGTTGATGGTTGTAATTTCAGGAGCAGTCGTTGTTGCTTCGCCTTCTGTAGCTGGTACTTGTTGTGGTACTGCTTCAGAATCTGGAGGAAACAGAAAAAAAAACACATATAAAATCAGACAATAATAGTTCATACTAATGTTGCAACTTAATCTGATTTAGATGAATAATTTAGATAAAGGATAATAGGATGATACTGAAAATGGTAACAAAAACCAAATGCAATGATCAATATGTTAGATTTAGACACACACACAAAAGTGTCCAAAACGAATATGCATATATACAAACATAAATATACGTTTGGGTAGAAGTTGTCAGTGTATGGTGGCTTCACTGGCATGACGATTGGCGACCAAATTGACAGATGATAGAAGAGACACATATACCAATGTAATTGAAACAGACAGCTCACTCCACATGCTATCCTTTATTCACTGTTCTCTCCAATCATTCACTCTCCTTTTCTTTTCCATTTCAAACCCAAATCTCTTCTTTTTTTTTTGCTTAGAGTGCATCAAATATATGTTTCTTTTTCGAGTTTAAGACAGCATAAAGGATCAATTACGTGCATGAATGATCAATGCAATCACACGTGATGATATAAACGGTGTCGTTCGAATAAGAGGGACAAATATATATAGAGAAAAACACTGACAAACATTTAATAACGTTAATGTTAGGAATTTTAACTTAACTAATTGTTCATATGAATAGATTATTGATGATTTATGTCACCTAGTTATTGCATTAGAGCACATTTTATTTAAGATGTGAGATTTCTAACACCTATTTTCGATATGATAGTTCTTCTAGCTAGTACCATTTCGAGACACTTTTTGGGTCAAGAACACACTCTATTTGAACTAATTAACAATCTAGGGTTTAGATGATATCTTGATTGATGAATGTACTTTATTAAGAGAAATATAGAGGTTTTGATATCATGTTAAGTTATATGGGTTTCTAAATTGAAATTAATTAGTATGAGTAGACATATATCCAAAGAAATATGAAAAAAAAAAAAAAAAAAGAAGAAGAAGAGGAGTTGAAGAGGGTGATTAAGTACGTACCGGTGGAAGAAGAGAGTAGTCCTTGGAGATGAGGGGTAAAAGAGGAATTGGTTGGGTAAACGAGGAAAGAAGGAGAAGAAAACCGTTGATGATGTTGTTGAGGATTATATGGTTGAGGAAGATGATGATGTTGGTATGGTACTCTAGGAGCTTGAAGAGAATAGCCATAATAGTATGGAGAAGGCATGATAGTTCCTGATGATGATGGTGATGTTGCTCCTCCATAAAGCTGCTGTTGCTGCTGATAGTATTGTGCTTGTTGCAACTGTGTGTTGTACAATGCCTGTGGCATGTATATGATGAATGATCATCATCATTATACATACTCGATGTCTATGTTTACAACAAACATGCATGTGCTAGTGTTTTTCATGCATTATGTAAGTGGTCGACATGTGCAAGATACGTTGTACGTAAAATCTATTATTAATTTCATATATCTTGCACTCATGATTAAATTCGATTTTGCTTTATGTTCATGTTGCGTATGTATATGTCAGTGAGAGAAAGATGGGCTTACTTGGTGGTACCCGAATTGATCAGGGTTATAGGTGTACCTGAAAAAGAAAAAAGAATTGAATGATTCTCTATTAAAAAAAAATATATAGAGATCATTATAATTTTCCTCAAAAAATACAAATTCTACCTCTACTTATTAAATTTGAAACATGTAACTATAAAAAAATAATAAAAATAAGAACTTCCTTCGAGTATTACACTCTTGCACGTTAAGGGTTTCTCAACTTCCATATCCGACTATATAATTCATTGCATGATTTTTAATCTACATATTAATGTTATCATATTTACAGCCTGACAACAAGTGGCTCGATTGACGCATTAAATTGTCTCCTACCATATATCTATCGCAATGGACCATCTCCTTATGCGAAACATTAATTTATAAGGATTTTAGTTTTTAAATTTTATAAAAATCGATATATATATATATATATATATGAACTTACCCGTAGGACGGATACATGAGCTGGGGAGCTGCAGCCGGTGGCAGTGGTGCAGGCATCCCGGTATAGCCTGATGGTCCTCCACTTTGGTACTGACTCGGACTTCCTGTTTGTCCTCGACCTACAACGAATTAGTAAACAAAAGCATTGAAAAAGATAGTACATTGCTAAACAAAACAAAAACATTTGTCGTCGAGTACATTGATAATTTAGGTCTCAAAAACTAGTAATTCCACGATATTGTTTTTTTTTAAGAAAAATGTTTGTATTCTTTTGACCCAAAAAAAATGTTTGTATTCTCAAAATTGGATTTGATTGGTTATATTAATGTTGTACACTACGCACATAACAATGTACTTACTATAATTTCAACGAGTACAACTAATCTCGTTTATGTTATATACGATCAAATATCTTATGTTATAAAAAAAAAAAAAAAAAATTCTTTACAACGTTCCAAACCATTAATATATCGTGATCGTATAAAAACTCATCAAATAAACTAACCCTCCCAAATTATGTACATAAAGAAAGACTTAACGGAATTTCTCAAGTTTAAGAAACAAACCTCGAGGCGGCGATGGTCGAGGCCGTCCAAAAGACGCAATATTACAATTGGCTTTTCTTCCGTCGATCACCGGATTTGGATCAGCGACGGCTCTCGTGGCTGAATCCGCCTCCCGAAACGTCACCTATATTAAGAATCGGAGCAATCCAACGAACAAACCCTTAATCATACCAAAGAGATAGAGACATTGTGTGAATGAAGAAAAAGAAAAAGAACGTACGAATCCATAGCCTTTAGATTTGCCGGTGTTTTTATCGGTAATGATGACGGCTTCAAGAATCTCTCCGAACTGATCGAAGTAACGACGCATTTCGTCGGTAGGAGTTTCCCATGCTAATCCTCCAACGAACACTTTGGTGTAAGTCGTGTCTCCGAACGGTGATCGATAATAGCTCGTTTGAGACATTTTATTTTAATTAATATCACGATTAACAAATATGGAAGTCTTCCGATGATGATGATGATATATATACCCCAAAAACAGATAAAATTGAATAAATAAATAATTATGGAAAAATGTGTTTGTCTAAAACATTAGGGGAAAAAAAAAGAGATTTGGAATGGACAAAGTTGGCTGATCTTTATATCATCAAAGGTTGTTTTTGGTTGGGCAAAGAGAAGAGAGACCAATCAAAAGGTTGCAAATTGCAACCCTTGAAACGGCGTCGTATTTGTCTTCGACCCTACACATACGTAGAGAAAATAGAGAGAATAGAGAAGAGAGAAGAGAGAAGAGAGAAGAGAGAGAGAAAGAAGATTGTTTTGGGACATTAGAATTGAGATTGGAGGGTTTTGTAAGAAGGAGAAGGAGAGAGAGAGAGTGACAAGGCAGCACTTGAGTATGTCTTCGCTGTCTAATTTGCCAGGTTTTAACATTATATCTCCTCCACAACTTTTATTTCAGAATTCTTCTTTTTAATTATAACGACGTTCTTCTGGTGTATTTAATATTTTTATGTAATATGCAGATTTAATTCTTTCTTAACTATATGTACTATATCTTAAATACTCAAGGTACATAGTTTACCAGATGTCATGTGGTGTGATTAGTTTTTGTTAATTTTTAATTAGTATAACCAATGGTAGATTTTAAAAATACTCATTTTTGGATGTTCTTAGAAATAAACTTATAATATTAATAATGAATCTTACATTATTCAATCCAATAGAAAAATTTATGTTATATGTGTCGTTATTAGAAAGTTATTGATACTTTGATGTTTCTATTTGTGTAGAACTTTTAGGTTATCTAAGGAAAAATATATTAAAATCCTTGTAGTACATTTAAAAATATGCAGATTTTGTCAAAACTACAGTTGTTTGATAAGTTCTATATTTTTGTTTTATCATTTCCCATGTTCTCTTTTGAGTTGGTCTCTTGTTCTCTTCCTCCTGCTTGTCTCTGTAGGTTCGTGTGATACATATATATACCAATAATAGTTTGATTTCTTTCCACATGAAATTAATATATAGTTTTCAATATTAATTTAAATGCATATATGTATATAATTTTCTATTGAATAATGGAACTTATTCCTTATTCTCACATGCTAACATGTACTTAACCTTCCTTTAATCATTAGCTTACTGGAAAGCTATGAACGGACGAAAAATAGAACAGTCTGGATTTTAGAATTACATTCTTTTTGTTATTTTTATTTTTCATACAGTTATATAATCTGAATTCGAAGATTTAATTTCGAATAATTATGGGCATAATTTCGTGATCCCATAATCTGATTAGGGTATATTATCATAAAGAAGGACATGTATAGCTAACTGACAACCCGATCTTAATATTATACAAACTCAATCATATTGTCAAAACGATGTAAAGTGTGTGTGTGTGAAATATCAAGTATTTATTTAGTGATTAAGCCAAACAGATTTTGTGATGAGTTTTCATGATTAGTGGAAGTCCATTATTCTTCCCACCAAACCATATGGGAAATTTTTTTAATCAGAATATTGACGAAGAGGCTCTTGACTTTCGGATAGATCCCTTTAAAGATTTCTCATCCTCCATATTTACAACTATGAAACTATAATTATATTGATCATGTAGTCATGTTGAATCAGCCATAATATTTAGTGTCTAGTGCAATATTTAAATATTATAATATATATATATATATATATATATGCATTATATATGGTCCTTTTTAATTAAATGCATTATATATATGGCTTCAAGCCACGTTAGTTGGTGAATCCAGATTTTACATTCTTAGATTATATGAGAGTATGAGACGACTCTAACTAAACTAGTATTCTCTCTACCTTCTAATTTAAACGTACATATATGAAATGTTTAGCATTGTTGTTAATATTTTTCTTATTTGTTTGTTGTTAGTGATCTAAATATTGTATGCTAATTAAGTCCTTCACATATATAGCTAAAGTGGCATTGCCAATTTGCCATTCTTTTAATGTCTTAAATGTACACTATTGTTCTAAATAACAATATATACTTTGACTTGTAAGATAACTGAGAAATGAAACGACACACACAAAACCTTGCCGTTTCCATGTTCGTCACACAATGAAGACATGATATCGTCATTACAAAAACAATATGCAGAACTATTTTTACATTCATACAAAAAAAAAATATGCAGAACTATAACAACATTTGACGCCGTCACAAGAAATATAAAAACCTATAAAAACATTAAATCTCTCTTTTAGTCGAATAGCCTAGACCCCAGATTATGTTGAAATAGCTAAAAAGAAGCATCCGTCCACGAACCATATGTCTAGCAACGCATTCGATTAACATATGTCTAAAATATCTTGCTCTTCAAAATGGCACCATTCTATATGTGCTCAAATTTATATGACTGTGCATGTGCTTATATGTGTGTAGTTGAATATGAAGATAAAAGGCATATATATACATGTTGTAAAAGATTACATGAGATGGGCTCACTGCAGAGCAGCTTTCATAGACGCACGACCATCCTTATTCCTCATCATCATTTTTAATCCCCTTTTTCACTTTTCTTTTTCTCACAAGTTGTATTTTTAATTTCATCCATAGATATTATACAAAATCAATATATATAATCTGCATCAAATCCCTTTCATTGGTGTAAATGTAATTTTTCTTATTTACAAACAAAAAACATTTAAAAGAGAAATTGTAGTGGATATTCAACGAAATAACAATTTTTTTATTTTATTTATTATTTTTTTTTTTTTTTTTTTTTTTTTTTTTTTACGAAATAACAATATATCCATGCCTACTTATTCAAATATTGTCCATAACGACAAATAATTAAAAAAAATTCTTAAGAAATAGGCATTTGAAGTCCAAGACATTTGATTTATGATTTATCCATTTAAAACTTTGTTTAAACCCAAAGAAAACTGTTTTATAGCTATACTTTAATCAAATAGGCCCAAACAACCAACTATACTTTAAAATATAATAGACTTTTGAAGTCTTTGAAAATTTTCAAAAATCCAAATAAATATTGTTGTTTTGAAAAAGAATTTAGTTTGATAAAAAACAAAATATGGAGACAAGTAAAGCAAAGTGAGGGGCCAGGAAACGTGGCAAAGAGAAGAGACAGTTGGAAGGAAAATTTTGGGAAAGAGATTCCAGTGAACTGTCTCAACTCCTTCCACGTGGACTTCCTGTCATGCTTAACTGCTTCCAAATTTGTTGTCTCAATAGTGAATACAATTACAATAACGTCATCGATTAGTGATTAAAATCTTGTTACGACAATAATTGTGTTTGGACCTTGTAGGCAATTAAACTCAATTGTAACGTTTTGGTCTAGTTTATAATCTTACAAATTATTTCAGTTTTCTTTGTTTGAGCATTGTCCATTTGAGAAGCATATTCAGATACTGATTAAAAATCTTTTTTAAATGCATGATAATTGATCTCATATCATTGGAATAAATCTGAAAGTGTTGATTTTACTCATAGAACAAAGCATTTTTCATAAAAATCAGCTTCCATGCAACCAAAAAAAAAAAAACCAAATCCAAAACCTTGAGAGGATATATGTTATATTATTGATAAGGTTCGCATTTTAACCATCTCGGGGTGGTGGCGCAGTTGGCTAGCGCGTAGGTCTCATAGCTACTGAGTGATCCTGAGGTCGAGAGTTCGAGCCTCTCTCACCCCATTTCCTTTTGTCTCCACGAAAGAAAAATCCTTTTATTTTCTTTTGAAGAAAGCCCAATATAGCCCATGATTTCCCTAAATATACACGAAGGGCCTAAATTATAGTTTTCTTCTTCATTAAACGAAACCATTTACTATATTTTCAAAATTGGGCCCCTGGAAAGCCCACCAGCTTCGAAGTTTTTTTTTCTTCATAAATGAGGAAATGGCTCATCCAGTCATGTCATGGTCATGAATGCGTCACTAAGCAATTACGCAATTATTTGAGAGAGATAGGTTAGTACAATGATAAAAAAAAAAGGATTAAAGCATGAGGATATTGGTACCCATCTAAATCACTTGTAAACTCCACATATATATCACTCAACGATATGTCTCATTAGTCATTATCTCTTTCTTCAATTCTCTCACATGTTCCCTAAGTTTTCATTCGTATAAATTCGTCCCTACAACTACACATTTAAAGAAAAAGCCGTCACACCCAAATCGGTTAACAATTCAATCGCCGATATCTATCCAAAACAAACTATTTTTATTCAATTCATTCGTTTTGAAATCTTTAAATTCGAGTCACTCATATTTTCATCTTGAGTGTTGAAGAACAATCATTAATGATCGGACTTTGTAGATAGAAAAGGGTTTGTGAGTTATAAGAGATCCACATGCAATGGCATGTGTGCACATGAGAAACTTATAAGAGCGAGTGATATATTGTGACAATGCCTTTTATAATATTTTGACGTGAAAGAAAGAGAGAAGAGAGCCCCACCGATGTTAAAAGAAGTCACATGGAATTTTTTTGTTGATTAATTATTTTTACTATTCATTTCATAATTATTCCTTTGAGAATTTTGCAAAAGCCCCTTTTTCTTTGATATATTATGGTCCATCTCATTCTCTCCCATTGATCATTTATGATTTGTGCCTCCCATCGTTTTCCTAAGATAATACTTTTTCAAGTTATTCGACTTATGGCAGATCATATTACTTTGTCGTCTTAAGCGGTTTTTATATTATCGTTTTACAAAACAGGTTTTAGAATTTGATTAACTTTTGAAAACTTTATTATAGTAATTTATAAAAATAATCGATGTAATTACCAGTAAAAAGATATTGATGGAAAAAAAAAAAAAAAGATATTGATGACTAGTTTGTCACATGAATCTATTTTATACCATGGTAAAAATAACGAATAAATATATAGTGGTTTAATGGTTGAAAGATTCATCATACGGTTCAAAAACTAGTGTTCGATTTTTAAATTTTTAGTCTTTCAATCATATCTACGCTGGTAGTTC